AAATTGAGGTGGTTCTAATTACAACTTTAATTTTTACTGACACCCTACTTCCGCGATCTTGTATGCCGATCAAAAGAAAATACTTCCCCTCTACCATGCCAAAAAACGAATTTTAACGAAAAGTTGCAGTATGGATTACAAAGTTTCCTTTGATATTCGTAATTCGTCTTCTTTTTTTCAGTAATTTTGTTTAAGAAAATAAAAGTTATTGAAGCTTACTATGGTATTTCTCACTTTTGTGAACGACGGAATCATCGGATAACGTTTGTTTACTAACCAGGAACCTGTAAATGCTGATGTTTACAAACAAGAAATGGCTAAACAGAATGAACAGCCTTTCTTTCAAAAGGATGAACCAAACATCAAAGGCAACTCACTAGCACTTATATAAAGTTAAACAAGTGAGAACAATTAAAACAAACCTCTTTGAACATCAACGACAAACAATACGTGGATGTTCTCGCAGTAACATAAAATCGATATGTTTTTTGCCTTACAACCTCCCACGGTAAATGACAACGACGTTGACATAATTACATAGTTCAATGTTAAATATTGCTCAATATTTATTTATTGCAATGGGTATAAAGATGAGATTTATGAGAGAATGGCATCTGTTTTCATCCCAGCAGACAAAATCACTCGCACACCTTAGAAGGTTTTAGCGATTAATGATTCAAAAAGTTGTCAACGAAGACTTCACAACAGTATAGTTTTTTTTTTATCTTTTCGCTAAGCTTATTGACCAAAAGCAGTGATGACAAGTAAACTTTCCCTTGAGCTTACCACAAGAGAGGAGGCGTTAGTTTGGACTGAAACAGTTTTGTTTGCTGTTACCAATGTTGTGGCCATCCTTGGAAATCTCCTCATTCTTTGCGCCGTGTACCATAACCACAGACTTCGCACGATTCCCAACATATTCGTAATAGCACTGGCTGTGAGCGATATTCTGATGTCTACTATATGTATGCCTTTTACAGTTGCAAGTCTTTTCCACGGCAGGTGGATCTTTGATGAAACGGTCTGCCGCTTTCAAGCATTTGATATCTTTGCGTTTGGGAAGTGTAGTCTTGGAACTATGGCAGCAATTGCAGTCAGCCGATATTTCTGTGTTGTTAATCGGGAAAAGTATCCCTCGCTGTTTAAGAAGCAAAGAGCCTTGATGTATATTTTCATCGTTTGGTGCTTGGCTCTGGTTGGATCTGTGCCCATATTACTCTTCAAAAATGACAGCATTGAATTCCACCCTGGAAAGGCAATGTGTCTGTTCAAATTTGAAAGTAACATTGCTTACTCTGCCTCAATCCTTTGCTGTTTTATCACAACACCCTTGATTATCATCACGATCTGCTATGTCAAAGTGTTCCGCGCCGTTTCGCGATCAAATCGTGTTTTCTCATTGGAAAATAACCCGGAACTTCTTCGGGTGAATGTGGAAGAAGCCAAAGTGACAAAGCGTTTGGTAGCAGTTGTGGTCGGCTTTGCATGCTGTTGGCTTCCTGTTTTTGTCGTTGATAACATCGACATGACACGTGGAGAACCCACGCTACCACGACAAGGTTCAGACAAATTTATCTGAGTAGCACCATAAACCCATTCATATATTGGTAAGAGGTTCAGTTTGTTTTGAGGAAGATTTTTACCTTTAAATGCCGAGACAACAGCTAGAACGGTAACGCCTAACTGAAATAGTCAGAGAAGTGTGGTAGGAAATGGATTTTTCTGAGATTTTGTCCGAGGTTGTTGCTGGTAAAATCAGAAACAAAGGACTAACGACATTATTTGACACTCATCATCCGTCAAATGCGTTTATCTACCGAGACGTTTCGAAGTAGTAACTAATACCCTTTTGGTGTTTTCTCATCAGTAAATAATCCAGAACTCCTTCGGATGAATGTGGAGGAAACCAAAGTGACGAAGCGTTTGGTTACAGTTGTAGTCGGCTTTGCATGCTGCTGGCTTCCTATTTTCATCATCGACAATATCGACATGGCGCACAGAGAGCCCACACTACCACGACCAGCTTACTTAACATATAGCCTTCTTGCTTCACTTGAGTAGCTCCATAAACCCCTTCATATATTGTGCCACAGATAAGAGGTTCAGACGAGAGTATAAAACTGTTTTCTGGAAGATTTCTAGCTTCAAATGCCGAGCCAACAACGAAAACAACGACGGTTAACTGAAATGGCGCAAGACCTGGCGTAGTGGTAGTTTTTTCTGAGATTTTAACTGAGGTTTTCACCAGTAAAATTGGAAACATTTGAAGATCTTTACACGAACCTATGTTGATTTGTAGACTGGCTTGAAATACCGAAAAGAGTGACAAAATAAATACTCTGCACGAACCTGGAAGTCATATGGAGGATCCCAAAGACAGGCACTCTTAGTGATTGCAGCATCTGGCGGGGAATTACCCTCTTATCAGTTCCAAGAAAAATGTTGGCCAAGATCATCATCAAGTGAATATCAAACACAGTGGACTATAAAGTTTTATTTGATTTCAGTGCACACAGCTCATGATAACATTCCCTGGAATAAGGTTTGTTAATCGGGCACCTGACAAATTTTCCGTCAATGTTGTCGTCATACGGAAAGTTCTTCTGAGCACCTTACATAGTTTCGACTCCCCATTCCGGATTCAATTGCTAGTTACAATTCCTCCGCATTTGTTTCATTCTTCTTTCATGCTGTAAGGGCCAGCTGCGCTTGGCAAAATAAATGCGACACAAAAACTTTTATGTGTCCAGATTCCTTGTATTCTTGTACAGGATAATCACAACGAATGACAAATGAGGATCCATCTGGCGACGATTCGAAGCTATTGCTTCTTACACAGCCTAAAATCCTTCGCTGAAACTAACTCGGCAAAAACGGCAAAAAAAAAAAAAAAAAAAAAAATGCAAGTAACGCTGAAGCAACGCTCATGGCATGGGGAACTGCGCCCCAGGTATATTGTCAGCGGCGCTATAAACTGTATCAGGTTAACGCAACGAATCATACACATGCTACTTTCTTGTTCAACTTTCTTTTCGTTCTGCTTTGAACGATACAATCAGGTTTCACGATGACATAATAGAGTGCACTTATCTTTGTAAGACGATTTACACCCGAGACAAAATTATCATAAAAAGTCCAGGAACTCTGAGATTTATTTCAAGTTACTACAGGTCTGCTGTTACCTCATTTAGAAGCCGTCACCAGTTCCTTTTCGCCAGTTATTTCGCAAAGTCAGTGGAGGTGAATCTCCTGTAGACTTGGGCTCCACCCTTTATATTCTGTTAGCGACGACCGATCCCCCCTCCCATTCCCCTGAAAACTGCGTAACTCCCCAAAAGTCAACCAATTCCTCCCCCGACACGTGATGACATGAATGAAGCTGCGCGCGTGGAACTCACTTTGCAGCGAGAAGTGTTCCTTACATATGGGTTCTTCGCTTACCTAAGTAGCACCATTAACCCTCTTCATTTATAGTGCATTGGGTGAGCAACTGAGGAGAGAGTTCAAGGGCATTTTGAAATGTTTTAGTTAATTAAAGGCACAAGTAGGTAGCTATAGTAACGAAATGTGATGACAAAGTAGCTTGAAATCATGTCTTTTTACATTAGATTAATTTTTGCGTTGGTATTGAGAGACGAAATGTCAAACGCGTCCAATTTTGCCGTTATTTGATAATATTCAAGCGCTTTAGCTGGTATAGGGCAGATTTTTACGAAGACGCTTAAAAGTTTTTTCCAGAACTTTATTACTGCAAGCTGGTATTAGCTCTTTAAACAAAAACAGCTGTATTCCACAGTTTTTTTTTATGTGTATCATCTGCGAGAGACCATCTCTGTCCTCTCCAAGGTAAAACAGTTTCTTTTTATGCATTTTTTAAAATTGTTGCGACATGAGTTGATTTAGTTGAATTCAAACGATATAACAACTGTTAAGAAATGTGCTAAAGCGACGATTTTTATATCTTCGGCCAACCTTGTTAAAACTTGTTGGTTTCCACCGCAACACGAGAAAGAATTATGTCAACTTAAGGATAATTTAGGACGTAAAATGACTTTCTGGCTTCAATATTTAGAAAGAAGATGTTCAGACAACATCCCCACGGTTTTTAATTAACGTTCCAAATGTTTCAAGCAGAAACGTGAGGTGGTTCAAACAACTTCAAATTTTACTGTCACTCTACTTCCGCGATCTTATATGCTTATCAAAAGAAAATACTTCCCCTCTACTATGCCGAAAAACAAATTTTTACCAAAAGTTGCAGTCTGGATCACAAAGTTTCCTTTGATTTTCGTAATTCTTCTTTTTTTCAGTAATTTTGTTTGAGGAATAAAATTGTTGAAGCTTTCTAAAGTATTTTCTCATTTTTCTGAACGACGAAATCGTCGGATAACGTTTGTTTACTAACAGGAACCTGTAAATGCTGATGTGTACGAACAAGAAATGGCTAAACAGAATGAATAGCTTTTCTTTCACTCAAAAGGGATAAACCAAATATTAAAAGCAACTCACTAGCACTTATATAAAAGTTAAACAAGTGAGAACAATTAAAACAAACCTCTTTTAACATCAACGATAAAAAATACGTGGATGTTCCCGAAGTAATAAAAAATCGATCTTTTTTTGCCTTACAACTTCCAACGGTAAATGAAAACGACGTTGACATAATTACATAGTTCAATATTAAATATTGCTCAATATTTATTTACTGCAATGGGTATAAAGATAAGATTTATGAGAGAATGACATCTGTTTTCATCCCAGCAGACAAAATCGCTCGCGCACCGAAGGTTTTAGCGATTAATGATTCAAAAAGTTGTCAACGAAGACTTCGCAACGGTATAGTTTTTTTTATCTTTTCGCTGAGCTTATTGACCAAAGGAGATGAGGAGAAACACACTTTCCCTTGAGCTCGCCACGAGGACGGAGGCGTTAGTTTGTACTGAAACAGTTTTGTTTGCTGTTACCAATGTTGTGGCCATCCTCGGAAATCTTCTCACTTTTTATGCTGTGTACAGAAACCACAGGCTGCGCACGATTCCCAACATGTTCCTGATAGCTCTGGCTCTAAGTGATATTCTGATGTCTACTATCTGTATACCTTTTACAGTTGCAAGTCTTTTCCACGGCAGGTGGATCTTTCATGAAACGGTCTGCCGTTTTCAAGCATTTGATATATTTACATTTGGGACGAGTAGTGTTGGAACTATGGCAGCAATTGCAGTCAGCCGATATTTCTGTGTTGTTAATCGGGAAAAGTATCCCTCGCTGTTTAAGAAACAAAGATCCGTGATGTACATTTTCATTGTTTGGTGTTTGGCTCTGGTTGGATCTGTGCCCATATTAGTCTTCAAAAATAACAGCGTTGAATTCCAGCCTGGAAAAGCAATGTGTCTGTACAAATTTGAAAGTAACATTGCTTACTCTGTCTTTATGCACTGCTGTTTTATCACAACACCCTTGATTATCATCAAGATCTCCTATTTCAAAGTGTTCCGCGCCGTGTCGAGATCAAATCGTGTTTTCTCACTGGAAAATAACCTGGAACTTCTTCGGGTGAATGTGGAAGAAGCCAAAGTGACGAAACGCTTGGTAGCAGTTGTGGTCGGCTTTGCATGCTGTTGGCTTCCCGTTTTTGTCGTTGATAACATCGACATGGCACGTGGAGAACCCACGCTACCACGACAAGTGTACTTGACTAACAGCCTCTTAATTTACCTGAGTAGCACCATAAACCCATTCATATATTGTGCCACAGATAAGAGGTTCAGACGAGAGTATAAGGTTGTTTTGAGGAAGATTTTTACCCTTAAATGCCGAGACAACAGCGAGAACGGTAACGCCTAACTGAAATAGCCAGAGAAATGTGGTAGGAATGTGAATGTGGAGGAAACCAAAATGACGAAGCGTTTGGTTGCAGTTGTAGTCGGCTTTGCATGCTGCTGGCTTACTATTTTCATCATCGACAATATCGACATGGCGCATGAAGAGCCCACGCTACCACGACCAGCTTACTTAGCATATGGCTTTTTGCTTTACTTGAGTAGCACCATAAACCCCTTCATATATTGTGCCACAGATAAGAGGTTCAGACGGGAGTATAAGGCTGTTTTCTGGAAGATTTTTAGCTTCAAATGCCGAGCCAACAACGAAAACAACGACGGTTAACTGAAATGGCTCAAGACCTGGTGTAGTGGTAGTTTTTTTTCTGAGATTTTAACTGAGGTTGTTACTGGTAAAATTGGAAACATTTGAAGGTCTTCACAAGAACCCATGTTGATTTGTAGACTGGCTTGAGTTACCGAAAAGAGTGACAAAATAAATACTTTGCACAAACCTAGAAGTCATTTGGAGGATCCCTAAGACAGGTACCCTGAGTGATTGCAGCATCTGGCGGGGAATTACCCTCTTATCAGTACCAAGAAAAATCTTGGCTAAGATCATCATCAAGTGAATGTAAACACAGTGGACCAAGAGCTCGGGAAGGAACAAGTAAGGTTCAGGGAAGGAAAGGAATGTAGCGAACAGATCTTTTCTTTCAAAATATCATCAGGTAACGCACGGACTGGAAAAGACAGCTGTGCATTAACTTTTACAAAGCAGTTGACAGCATCCATAGAGACAGTCTCTTTTTAATTTAAAAGAGGAATTTTGTTCTCGAGAAAAACTGTTATGTATGTAAAAGTGAATTTTTGTTTGTATATGGATATCAGTTTAAAACATTTCTCTTTTCATTTACACTTTTCTTATTGAGGTTAATTTCCTGTGCCCTCCAATGACTTCTCTGAAGCTCGGGGCCAAACTAGAGATAATCGAAAGGAACATCTTAAAACAGATGTCCGCAAATTTGAGTAAACTTCTTCAATCATAACTCAGCCGGGACATGACCGTTTGAGTTTACATGTCGTCTTCATCATTATTATCCACTGTAAGTGAGAAATTGTTGCTTTGAAATATGTAAAATTGGACGTGAACTTTTTCTCAGAAATATTCTTAATTAAACCTACTTAACTGTCATTCAAATGTTCAACACACTCAACATACAGTAACCTACTTTCGTCAAACCCTATAATAAATTAAATAGGCTGATACTTGTTCAAATAATTACGCCAAAATTTTTTTCAGTTTAAACTAAGAATTCGTACAAAGTGAACTGTTTTCTTTCCAAGGAATATCTGTTATTTTAACAGCAAACATATAGAAAGGGGTCTTTTTATTTGATTTCAGTGCACACAGCTCATAATTACATTCCTTGGAGTTGGGCTTGTTAATCGGGCACCTGACAAATTTTAAAATTTGCCAAAGCCAAAGAAACGAAGCGTTTGGTTGCAGTTGTAGTCGGCTTTGCATGCTGCTGGCTTCCTATTTTCATCGTCGACAATATCGACATGGCGCATGGAGAGCCCACGCTACCACGACCAGCTTACTTAACATACGGCTTTTTGGTTTATTTGAGTAGCACGATAAACCCCTTCATGTATTGTGCCACAGATAAGAGGTTCAGACGAGAGTATAAGGTTGTTTTCTGGAAGATTTTTGGCTTCAAATGCCGAGCTAACAACGAAAACAACGACGCTGAACTGAAATGGCACAAGACCTGATGTAGTATGGAGATTTTGTCCGAGGTTGTTACTGGTAAAATTGGAACATCTGGGTGTCTTTACACGAAACCATGTTGACTTGTAGACTGGCTTGAATAACCGAAAAGATTGAGAAAAATAAATACTTTACACAAACCTGGAAGCAATGTTGAGGATCCCAAAGTCAGGCACCTTTAGTGGTTGCAGCATCTAGCGGAGAATTACCCTCTTATCAGTTCCAAGAAAAATCTTGGCTGAGATCATCATCGAGTGGATATAAAACACGGTGGACCAAGCGTTCGTGAAGGAACAAGTAAGGTTCAGGAAAGAAAAGGGTTGCACCGACCAGATCTTTACTTTTCAAACATCATCAGGTAACGCACAGAGTGGCAGTTGACAGCATCCTCAGAGATAGTCTCCTGTACTGGATCCTGCAGCAAATATTTCATCATTGTCATCATCAACATCATTTTATTAGTCACTTCAGATATAACATTTATACAGGCTTAACAGTATGGTAGGGCGAGGAGACCTTTAAGAAACCACCAAGCTTATAGGGAAGGCCACCTCGGTTGTCATTACGTTTGAAATTAAGATGTGGATGTGGATGTGCGGCTTGGCCAATTCGGACTCATTTCATTAAGAAATCAATCATCTTTCTTTTAAAAGTAAGAAAAGATAGTCAAACCAGTGATCGATATTGGGAGAGAATGCCAAGTTTAAGGACCCTGTTAGAGTATTGTAAATTGTTCAAGATTAGTACGACAGAAGATCAGGAAGATCAGCCAAAACAAGACGGAATTTATGATTCCGAATGTCCCAAACCCCCAGCTGATTAGAAATGGAATTCACGTACCTGGGCAATACAGTCAGACATGATGAAGGAACAAGCAAGGACATCAAGAACCGCTTAGTGAAAGTCATCAATGTAGTCAGCATGCTCAACAATGTATAGAGGTCCCAGCAGTAGAGCACTAAGATCAGGCAAAAACTATATCATAGCTGTGTCGCATCCACCCTAATATGTGGCTCTGAAGAAGGCGATCTATGCAGATGGTCAGTCTTCCATAGTCTTCCTAAATTTTGTGTTAGATACAGTTCCCTTTGGTTTGCGCACTGGACTCAACAATGTCTGGTCGTTAAAAAAAGCGAAAAGCTAGAAATTTGGCTCACATTTGATCATCGTATTCACGCGGTTGTTAATGAAAAAAAAACTTATGAATTTTTTCTTTTGTCCAAACTAAAAGTCAAGATGGCGTCAATTCTTTATTTCAGGAAGCGATTTCAGTGATATTGAAGAGTTTGCCAACTCGTATAATTGATTTCCAAACCTTTATCAGGGAGATATTTTTCAAATAAAACTTTAATTTTCTTCTTGAACCGCTAGAACAGTTTTTTTGATGAGTCAGTGTTGTCTAAAAGATAACATCTCTGTTTACTCGCAGCTTTACAATTTTCATTTTAAGACATTCCACAAAGAATTACGATTGAATTTCATGAGTTTAGGTAAACGACTAATTTACTGTTTATTACGTTGTTATATTACAGTTTCTAAGTTTCTAAGCCGACGATTTTTCTAACTTCTTCTTTCGTTCTAGATACGTGAATAAATGTAAGAAGGCTGTAAACTTATGGTTAATTTAGAGCTTAGATTGACTTTTCCGCTTCGTTATTTGATAACAAGATGTTCTTACAATATCCTCTCGGTCTTAGAACAAAGGTTTTTAATTTAAGCAGAAATTTAGAGTGGCTTAAATTATAATTTCAAATTTGACCGTCACTTAACCTTCGCGATCTTATATGCCCATCCAAAAAAAATTAGTTCCCCCATACGATGCCGAAAATTGTTAATAACAGACTGGACTTCAATTTTTTTTCTGAGAGAGGGTTTTAGTTTTTTCCAGCTATTTTTACTGCAGAAATGAGAGTTGTTCAAACTCTTTAAGATATCTTATCCCTTTCGTGAGCGGCGTAATTATATGTTTGTTTATTAACCTGCTGTGTGAAGAAATTGTTTAGACAAGATACGGAGAAATAGAAACAACATCTTTTCTTTCACTCTAAAGAGATATGTCGATATATTAAAAGCGATTCAACAACACTTATCCGGAGTTAAATTACATAGTTCCATTATAATAAACCTCTTTCAGCAACAACGCCATACCGCACGAGCTCTCGCCGAACAGAAACAGTTTTCATTTGGCCCTACAACTTCCAACTTGATGAGAATGATAACAACGATGACATACAGACATTTTTTAATATTCATTAATTGCAATGTGTTTACAGATAGGATGTGATGGAAAATAACATTTGCTTTTCGGTGTTGGTAGAAAGTGTTGGTAATCGCGCACACCAGCGGGTTTCGCCGATCCCTGCTTCAAAAAGTTGACAACAAAGACTGTGCAGAAGTGTAACTGAATTAATAATCTTTTCGCCGAGCTAGAGCTTATTGACCAAAAGCAGTGATGACAAGTGAACTCTCCCTTGAGCTTGCCACAAGAGAGGAGGTGTTAGTGTGGACTGAAACAGTTCTGTTTGCTTTTACCAATGTCGTGGCTGTCTTCGGAAATCTTCTCACTTTTTACGCCGTGTACAGAAACCACAGGCTGCGAACAGTTACCAACATGTTCGTAATAGCTCTGGCTTTCAGCGATATTCTGATGTGTACCTGCTGTATGCCTTTTACAGTTGTCGCTCTGTTCCATGGCCAGTGGATATTTGGCAAATCTTACTGTCTCTTTCAAGGTTTTGCCGCGCTGACTCTCGCGATGGTCTCCATAGTTACCATGGGTGTCATTGCCGTCAACCGATTCTTCTGCGTTGTAAAACCAGAAAAGTATCTCTTTGTGTTTAAGAAGCAAAGAGCGTTGATATACATTGTCATTGTGTGGTGCCTGGCTTTCGCTGGATCTGTGCTCCCGTTTTCCTTTGTTTGCAATGTGTTCGTACACGTTTGAAAGAAATATGGCTTACACGTTTACAATCGCATGTCTTTACATCGTTGCGCCCTTAAAAATCATAGTGGTCTGCTATATCAAAGTGTTCCGATCAGTTTCAAGATTAAATCGTGTTTTCTGTCCAGGCGTTAATCCCAGTCAACTCCGCGCGAATGTGGAAGAAGCAAAAGTAACGAAAACTTTAGTAGTAGTTCTGTTTGGCTTCGCGTGCTGCTGGCTTCCTATCTTCGTTATGGATATCTTGGACGCCGTGCGCGGAGAACTGGCAATACCACGACAGGTTTACCTGACGAACGGGTTCTTGATCTATCTGAGTAGCACTATCAACCCAGTCATTTATGGTATCATAAATAGACAGTTCAGGCGAGAGTACAAGGCCCTCTTGTGCAAGATTACTTGCTTTCGACGCCAAAATGGCAACAACAACGGCAGCCACAACGCTGAAAATGATGCATGAATTATTTTCACCATTCTCAGCAAACAGCAAATATTTCTGTCTGATTACACGGAAATGACGCTTACATTTTCCTATAAGAGCGCAAGTCGGGCTGTTGTCAACCCATCTCATTCGAGAGCTGTGCTATAGTTTTGAACAGTGATGGTAATAGGACGAAGTGGAGTCCAATTCGATCTGTAATTAAACAAGTGATTAGCAAAATCGGACGACTACGAAGCAGGAGTGGGATTTGTCACGAGTATGATTACATACAGTATTGGACGACACAAAGTCTTGTTACCAATTAACCATAACCGTTACAGTTTCTGAAAACAACAAATATATTTAGGACAAGTATCTCCCGTAGAAACAATGGAACAAAATTCCTCAATTTTAAAAATTCCACATTTCTTTTACGATAAGTGGTTGTTGCTGTAGTTATTGTGATCAATTCTGTGATTGGTGGATTTAGCTGAGTGGGACTTAGTGTGACTGGTTGCTTCAACTGTCCGATTACAGCCAACTGTTTGATTACACTGTCCGATTACAACTTTACAGAATGATTAGTGAAAAATAAAGCAGCTAATGTACCATTCGTTTTGGCTTCAAATGCCGTGCCAACAACGAAAAGAACGACGCTTAACTGAAATGACACAAGACCTGGTGTAGTATGATAGTTTCTTTCACAGATTTTGTTGGAGGTTGTTACTGGTAAAATTGGAACATCTGAATTTCTTTCCACGAACCTTTGTTGATTTGTAGACTGGCTTGAATTACCGAAAAGAGTGACAAAATAAATACTTTGTACAAACCTGGAAGTCATTGGGAGGATCCCAAAGTAAGGCACCCTTAGTGGTTGCAGCATCTGGCGGGGAATAACCCTCTTATCAGTTCCAAGAAAAATCTTGGCTGAGATCATCATCAAGTGGATATCAAACACAGTGGACCAAGAGTTCCGGAAGGAACAAGTAAGGTTCAGGAACCGGAAGGGATGTACCGATTAGATCTTTTACTCTTCACAACATTATCAGACAGAGTGGAAAAGACAGCTGTGCGTTAACTTTTAAAAGCAATTGACAGCATCCACAGAGGTAGTCTCTTGTGCGGGATTCTGCTGCAAATATTTCATCATCTTCATCATCATAGTTTTTTTACTAGTCACACGAGATATAACATTTAGATAGGTTTAATACAGGTTTAACAATATGGTAGGTCGAGGAGACCTCCAAGAAACCACCAAACTAATAGGGGAGGCCCCCTCGGTTGTCATTATGTTTGTAATTAAGTTGTGGATGTGGATATGCGGCTTGGCCAATTGGGACTCGTTTCATTAAGAAATCAATCATCTTTCTTTTAAAAGTAAAAAAGCTAGTCAAACCAGTGATCGATACGATTGGGAGAGAATGCCAAATTTTAGGACCCTAGTATTTTAAATTGTTTAAGATTAGTACGACAGTTATGTGGTCGATAGCAATTGGCTATTCTTGTATCATTACTGTGTTCTTACCTATTTGTTCTCATTAAGAGCGTTTACGACAACATCACGAGCAGAGGTAGCGGAGGTTGGGTGCTGTAGCGAACAACCGAAGACCAGACCAGAGGCATCCGATAGACATTATTCTCTGCATACGAGGACCTCGACTTTGCTGATGACCAGGCGCTGCTATATCTCACACTCATCACCATAAGTAAGAGAAATCCCGTCTCTGTGACCTTGATAAACAGATTTGCCTGAAGATCAGCTAAAACAAGACGGAGGTTATGATTCCGAATGTCCCAAATCCCCAGCTGATCAGAGCGAACAGAGAGGATCTTCCAACGACGGGGGAACTCACATATACCAGGGCAACACAGTTAGACATGATGAAAGAGCAAACAAGGACATCAAGAACCGCTTAGTGAACGCCATCAACGTAGTCAGAATGCTCAACTATGTATGGAGGTCCCAGCAGTAGAGCACCAAGTTCAGGCTATATCCTAGCTGTGCCCTATCCACCCTAATATGTGGCTCCGAATGCTGGAGAATGACAGAAGACGATCCTTACAGATGGTCAGTCTTCCACAGTCTCCTTAAATTTTGTGTTAGACACAGCGCCCTTTGGTTTGCGCGCTGGACTCAACAATGTCTGGTCGTTAAAAAATGCGAGAAGCTGTAAATTTGGCTCACATTTGATCATCGTATTCACGCGGTTGTTATTGTTAAATTTGTTTCTTTTATCCAAACTAAAAGTCAAGATGGCGTCAATTCTTTGTTTCAGGAAGCGATTTTAGTGATATTAAAATGTTTGCCGACTCGTAAAATTGGTTTCCAAATCTTTATCAAGGAGATATTTTGCAAATAAAACTTTAATTTTCTTCTAGAACCGCTAGAACAGCTTTTTTGATGAGTGTTGTCTACAAGATATCTATGTTTACTCGCAGCTTTACAATTTTCATTTTAAGACATTTGACAAAGAATTATGATTGAATTTCAATGAATTTAAATTCTGTTTCGTACGTTGTTACATTACAGTTTAAGAAGTTTCTAAGCCGACTATTTTTCTAGCTTCTTTCGTTTCGTGAGTGTTGTCTACAAGATAACATCTCTGTTTACTCGCAGCTTTACAATTTTCATTTTAAGACATTTGACAAAGAATTATGATTGAATTTCATGAGTTTAAGTTAAAATTCTAAATTTAACTTCTGTTTCGTACGTTGTTACATCACAGTTTAAGAGGTTTCTAAGCCGACTATTTTTCTAGCTTCTTTCGTTTTGGATACGCGAATAAATGTAAGAAGTCTGGAAACTTATGGTTAATTTAGAGCTTGATAACAAGATGTTCTTAAAATATCCTCTCGGTTTTAGAACAAAGATTTTAAAATTAAGCAGAAAGTTAAGGTGGTTTGAATTAAAATTTCGAATTTGACTGTCACTTAACCTCCGCGATCTTATATGGCCATCAAAAAAATTAGTTCCCCCATACTATGCCGAAAATTGCTAATAACAGACTGGATTTCAATTTCTTTTTTTTCTGAGAGAGTTTTAGTTTTATTCCAGCTATTTTTATGGCAGAAATGAGAGTTGTTCAAACTCTTCAAGATATCTTATCCCTTTCGTGAGCGGCGGAATAATATGTTTGTTTATTAACCAGCTGTGTGAAAAAATTGTTTAGACAAGATACGGAAAAATAGAAGCAACATCTTTTCTTTACACACGAAAGAGATATGTCGATTATTAAAAGCAATTCAACAACACTTATCCGGGGGTAAATAACTGAGTGCAATTAAAACAAACCTCTTTCAGCAATAACGACGTACTACACGAGCTCTCGCCGACAGAAACATGAAATGGAGTTGTTATTTGGCCCTACAACTTCCAACTTGATGAGAATGATAACAATGATGACATACAGACATCTCTAATAATTCATTAATTGCAATGTGTTTCAAGATAGGATGTGATGGAAAATAACATTTGTTTTTTCGGTGTTGGTAGACAGTGTTGGTAATCGTGCACAGCAGCGGGTTTGGCCGATCTGTGCTTCAAAAAGTCGACATCAAAGACTGTGCAAAAGTGTAAGTTACTCATCTTTTCGCTGAGCTTATTGACCAAAAGCAACGATGACAAGTAAACTCTCCCTTGAGCTTGCCACAAGAGAGGAGGCGTTAGTTTGGACTGAAACAGTTCTGTTTGCTTTTACTAATGTTATGGCTGTCTTCGGAAATCTTCTCACTTTTCACGCCGTGTACAGAAACCACAGGCTGCGAACAATCACCAACATGTTCGTAATAGCTCTGGCTATGAGCGATATTCTGATGTGTATCTGCTGCATGCCTTTTACAGTAGTCACTCTGTTCCATGGCCGCTGGATATTTGGCGAATCGTACTGTCTCTTTCTTGGGGTGAATAACAATGGTGCCTCCACCGGCAGTCTGAGTAGTTTGGGGAACCAACTTTGGCTCATCCACCGTGGCACTATAAGAATGCCCTCTGCTTGGTTTGCAGGTAATTTCTCCAGACATCTCCCAATTAGACTAAAAGGAGGAAATGCATAAAAGAATAAATTATTCCAATTTACAGAAAATGCATCCACGAACAAAGCTTCGGGGTCTGGACGCCATGATGAGTATTTGGCATATTGTTTATTCAAACGGGATGCAAAGAGGTCAATTTCAGGACTACCAAACTTATTGGTAATCTTCTTGAATATCTGTGGATCTAACATCCACTCTGTGCGGTCATTAAATATCCTAGATTCTGCATTAGCTTCTACATTTTTACATCCAGGTAAATATGTAGCTCTGAGCCAGTTATTATTAGCAATACACAGGGCCCAGATTTGTTTATCTACCTGATTACATGGAATGGATTTACTTCCACCCATGTTATTTATGTAGTACACTGCAGTAGTGTTGTCACATTGCACCTGGATGTGTTCATTTTTGTGTGCACCACACAAAGCTTTGAGGGATAAAAATATAGCGAGCAGTTCAAGGTAATTGATGTGATTTAGTGCTTCTGTGGGGGTCCATCTGCCTCCTGCTCTCTGGTCACCATGCACCCCTCCCCAACCTTGAGAAGAGGCATCAGTTTGGATTACTATATCAGCTTCACCATGTGAGATTGCTTTACAAGAAAAAGGTAAGTTTGCAATCCACCACTGCAATTCCTTTCTTGAATTAACAGATAGAGATATTTCACTAGAGAAATTGCCTTTAGTTTGTCTCAGACTCTCAATTTTCTCAGTGTCAAGGCTACGGTAGTATAATGGGCCATGTTCCACGGCGGAGAAGCTGGAGACCATAAGCCAAATAACCTCTGCTAGATGAAGTATGGGGTCAAGAGGGGTGGGTTCGAAACCTAGCCAGGTCATTGTGTAGTGTTCTTGGTTTGTCGGTCGGGATTAAGAAATAATAGTAAAATAATAAACTAAGATGAGATCGTAGCTCTTCTGAGTCACTATGACTTGAGGTGGCAAGAGTCATCGTTGATCTTACAATCGAGGAAGGTGAACAGCAACAAGAAACCATTTCCAGGGAAGGTGAACAAATTGGTAAACACGAGATCGTTAAGGTGTTTTGCGATCGTGGTAGCCAGACGAGACTGCGTTCACAATCTATCTCTAAGGACGCAGAAAGTTTAAATTCACATTTCTAATTCAAAGTGAGTAGAAAACGAGCGCAAATGTTTTAAACTAATTTTACAAAGCTATTGTTCATTGAACTGAGCTACGCTGACAGTCTCCTTCATAGGGGAAAGCAGTTTAAAACTTTAGCATGGAGGCTACGCATACTCTTTTCTGGGAACTAGGAAGTAACGCCGAGGAAGACTTTTTTGTTGATTGATGTACGTCTTCGCTAAACATTTTTTGGGGCTCATGTCATATTAATTAATGTTCGCCTCTCCTTTTAAGATTTTCGTTATCAACGCATATGTGCCACCGTCAAAGGATTCTTTACAAAACGATTTAATTAATTAATGTAGTAGAGTATCTCTGTCTAATCCAAAGAGCTAATGATAATTCTATCACTCCAAAAGACGTAAACCCCTTAACTCCCAAGATCTGATTGTTAATTCTCCTCTCTCGCTGCTACACATTTCCTTTTAACGAGCTGTTCAATCATTTGATTTAGGCATACGGTATTTCATTTTCGTCAAACGCTTAAACGTTAATTCATATGATCAAATTTCTTTCAAACAAAGAACGCAAATCAAGAAGAAAACGGTTTTGTATGGAACATGAACTCGATAGACTGGAAAAACGTAAAATAGTAAAAAAAATGTAGAAATAATAAAAATAAAGTATAGCTAATCAGATCGTATGAAAGTGAGGAAATAATGTTATGTGAAGCGCTCGAGAAGTATTTTAGTATTGTTAGGGTATGTTTATACGAAGTATGCTGAGTTTTGGGAGATTTCTGCTCCAAGCGCAGTTTATTAAGTATATTTTGGTTGCTTTTGGCCTCGCACCAGCTGCAGGCATTGTAATCAACAACGCATGAATAAATGGGTTTAGTTTCTAAGGAAATTGTGGTGCTGCGTCAGTAAGAGGTACAACAAGACAATTTGGTTCTATAATCCAACTGCACAAGGTAGAGTTCAAATAACGCGAAAATATGTATATAGCGCATGTGTACAGTTGGTTATTGTGTACTGTAAAAAAACCTGTTTAACCGGTCGGCTACGCACGCTGCGTTTCTCTATCAACTTTGCTTTTCCCGCCTTATGAGAAATGAGCAGAAAGACTTAGCGAGAAAAAAAAGCAGTTGGATCATAAATAACTTAGTAGACTATTCATTGGTGTAGTATTGCCTAGTACTTTCACTCCTTGTTTGAATTTGACGAGCCTGTGGGAAAAGTCAAAATACGGCACAACTCATTAAAATACTCAGGTATGCCACCGCCAGATAAAGAAAATCCGAAAAAATCACCATGAATCTTATTTCGCGAGATGATCATCTCGCAGCTGGAGCTTGGGCTGCTTGTGGTGTGAGTTCAGATAAATTAAGTTTTTTTCTTTCTCTCAAGGTGAAGTAACGCGATATTTTCGTCCGTTTGAAAGTCATACTCTTTTTTTGTTACAAAAATGAAAACATCAGGTACACAAAGTGTCCCATCTCGACCCACCCATGCTACGCATACCTATGTTTCTTATAAATGATGTCATGGATAATAATAATAATAATAATAATAATAATAATTGATTTACTTATATAGCGCCCTTTAACATTTATGGAATGATCAAAGGCGCTTTACAATCCAAGAAAACTAATATTACAATAGATAATTACAATAAAAATGCTATTTACAATAGATAATTACAATAACAATACTAAAATAAAATAATGACAGTAAATGAATACATAATGAAAGAATGAATGAATAAAAAGTAAATAAATAAGCTACAAAATACCGATACGATTGTAATGCGAATCTAAAACGCTTGCTTAAAAAGATAGGTCTAAAGAGATTTCTTAAATAGCGCTAGCGAATCAATCGTGCGGATGTGCACAGGCAAGCTGTTCCACAGCGCAGGCGCAGAGGCATGAAACGAGCGGGCACCTAAAGTTGTGCGCATAACCCCTTTTGGGCGTTCTAAAAATATTGTATCATTATTGCGTAATGGATCAGGGGGCTGAGCACAAAGAATAACATTAACCAGAAATCTTGGGCTCATTTGATAAGTGTAGTGGTTTGTGGCCTTCGCGAGAGCCTCGTTGATTAAGGTCGAGATTTATCGGGACATGAACGGTTCGCATTTCATTTTTTGTATTATTTTTAAGTCAAACGTATTTTTACGGCTCCTTGACGCACAAAGAACACGCCTAACAACTCACGTTCCATCACGTACCATAAAAACAACGTGCAAAGTCCATTAGAACATACCCAATCATTGCACTACGTGAACATTTGGCAATTTTTTACGTGCTTGAATTGTATTCCATCAACCAAATTCGCATCTACGCGCGCCCGTGAATTATTCACTATTTATGACTCATTTTCTCGGGAAAGTTCACAATGTGTCATTAACTTTTGGTTTTCCAGAGAATGTCACGCTATGGTAAAAACATCATTATGGTCGTGAAACAAAAAGTGAGTCATTTGCATCCTGTCAGGGTCGAGTGAACATCTTTGGTGGCAGCGAGAAATTTTTAACGCTTGCCATCCCCAGCTCGAAGCGTTGCTCCTAAGTTATCGCGAGCTAAATTTAAGAGGAAAAAAATCAAATACTCCTACGTCGTGAGATCACTAAGAAAAGAGTACCCTCTCGACACCGTTCTTGTTATAATTCACCTTCTGAAGACCTCGTCAAAATATCTTCGGTCTTGCAAAATTTTACAAATTTAACAGGTTCTTAAGGACGAATTCAACGCTCCGTCGTTGACGAAACGTCGTTTTAAGGTAAGCTCTGAAATAATTAATTAAACCAAGTGGTTTGTCTCATTCACTCGCAGTGTTCCATCAGTAACATTGCCAGTTTGTATTAACGAAGAAAAACTTTGTACATTGTAAAATATAGACAATCCGGTATGAGGCGTGGGGTCTTGGTTTCATGTGGGTCTTTCAGCAAAGTGAACCGGCAACAACACACTAGGCCACATGATCGCAGACAAGAGGAAGTTATGAAAATTTTATCGATGGAAAGTGCTGTGTCCCTGCTTACTCTATTTTTTTAGAAGTGTATTTAGTGAGAACTAAGAAAACTGAGTGTTACGAGATAATGTGTTTATTTTTATTTTGATTATAAACTACCGTCTACGTGTTCGCATTATAGAAATTGAAAGAGGAAGCAGTTGTCATAAACACATGTTTCGAGGGGAAGATGTAAAACGCTCCTTGCTTATTAAATGATACAAAACTTGGCAGGTATTTTCAGGCAGAGAAAAATTTAAGGCAACAAATCAATCAAAATACGAATTCTTTAAGACATTATTTGACTTCTTTTGAAAAAATGTAGGTTATATTAAGAACACAGCGTAACTGAATATTTATCAGCATACCTGTGGAAAATGAAAATGAGCTGAAATCCAGTTCGCACATACATTTTGGAATAAATGATCGTCTTCTTTGTTTTTTTTGTCCTACATAAATTAACGAGTGAATCACATGCTCCTCGTTCTTGTTCGTCATAACTCGAGTCGAAAATTTTACGAAAATTTGAAATGAGATTGCCTAATTGTATTTGTTTGTTCCACATAAAATCATGAGTGCACCACGTGCTACTCGTTCGAGTTTTTCATTGAAGGCATTTTGGGTGGCGGATATTTATCTATTAGTTTAGTTTGCAATGACAGAAGGAAATATTCCAATATGAAAGAAAGAAAACATTACTATTAATCCGAGTCATTTCGTTAGCGCCATACCTCCTGACTGTGGTGTACTCAAAGTTCTACGGAGCATGCCCGAAGGTGTTAGGGTTGAAAAAACAACATGGCGCGATCGGTAAGAAGTAAAGATCGTGTAGATTATTATTGCTTCTGAAGACAACAGGAAATATAAACCCGGGGTAAAATTGTATCAAGTGGAAAGACTTGTCAGCAAGCGGAAATCGTTGAACAAAGTTTCGCATAATATCAGGATAATTGTGCAGAGTTGCAAACAATGGACAGCTGATTTTATGACGAGCGTATTTGCGTGTACACTATAATAAATCACATTTGAATTACCTACAATAAAATGCCTTGCTAAATTTCCAAAGTGGCTACCAACACAACGAAAAAGAAGTGCGGATGCGGCGAGCGTTTTCTATATTTTTCGCCTTGTCATGACATCCCTGGTGAAAATCTTTGAAGGATCTTTAACGTTCCTACAAGATCTTTATGAGAACCTTTAAAGATCTTGAAAATTCTTCTTAAGATCTTCAAGGATCTTTCATTTTCTTGCTAAGATCTTCAAGGATCTTTCATTTTCTTCCCAGGATCTTCAAGGATCTTCAAAGTTCTTGCCAATTTTGCCAAATAAGACTTCGCTCCATCACGTGTCATTTCCTTGTAAACAATTTGCATTTAATCACGTATTCTAACCGCAATATCCAACCCCACTGGAAAAAATTTACACTAAATGCTACTGATAGTCAACTTTTCACGCAATTATCCCACGTTTTATCTTTTTCTACGAATAAACTCGGCTTTTAACTACCTTGGACTTAATCCAATCGCGTGTTTATTCCTTGTAAACAACCTGCATTTTATAAGGTATTTCACACACAGTGGGCAAGGGCCAGATAGGCAACAACCAATCAAGGAGCCCTCTCTCAAATATTATCCTTTTCTCTTGGGAAATGTATCTTCGTTTGGTCGAGATCGCAATATACCTTTGGTTAGAGTCTATTGGAGATACAACAGAGTTTCAGTTTGCTTTTCGTGGTAAAATTACATGGAATTATATTTTTCAGGCATCTAACTGTTGACGAATAATTTTACTTTTCTCTCTGGCAGAGGAACGGCAATAAGCGCGGTCTCTTTCGCAACTATTATTTGGTCTCATCACGCTACGCGCTCTCTCTCCGTCGGGGAATAAATGGCGTTGTGTGACGAGACCAAACAACTGCTGCGAAGGAGAAAACAGTAAGCGTGGCACCAATCTATTTTATTTTTGCTCAGAAGTATTTCGACGGTAGAGAAAATAGACCACAAGATACCTGTGTGAGTTCAGATAAATTACGTTTTTCTCTCTTCCTCTTAAGGTGAAGTAATGCAATATTTTCGTTTTTTATAAAGTTATGCTCTTTTTCTGTTACAAAAATGAAAACATTAGGTACACAAAGTGTCCCATCTCATCCCACCCGGTCAAAAAAAAATAACTCTTGCATGCTACGCATGCCTATGTTTTTATTTGGAAGCCAGAAAATTCACAATACACTAGTTTAGTGCAAGTGACATTAGTGCATGACCATTACCTTGCTTTCTTGAGCTGTACTGGGAAATATTGGCTCTATGGCATTTCTATACTGCTGCAACCATGGGCCAATATTCCCTAGTAGAGACTCGTGCTCGAATGGTCAGTAAGAAGTTAGTACTGGCTTTGGAAAAAATGATCTACACTGTACATGCATCTCAGGCTATTTTTAATTCCAGAACAATTGATTTCCTTGTTCCTCTACATTTCTTGAATTTTTTTCTACGTGAAGACAGCCAGCAAGGATTTTATGATATTTGAAAAACAACCAGTCTAGATTATCAGGATAATTAAAGTTAGCATCAAAGACAAATCAATTCTGTGCACAAAACAATGTAAACATGAAATAATTGCAAAAACAATTAGTTTAATATACATATACTGGTAAACCACAAACATCAGCACCTGTACCAAATTGAAATCCATATCAACGTACATCAGCAAGCATTGGTGTATATATTTCATTTTTTTCCCTGTCATAAGTGTCCAGTTGAACTAACTGCCAGCTGCACAAATATGGATGTCGGTTCAACTGGAGGAAATTGAATAAAAAACTTACATATTTTGTAAGTTTTGACCAGTAATCCCTATTTAAAAATCAGATAAGAAAATCTTACTTTGGTTTTGTAAAAGTTGTTTCTTATTGGAAGGGATTCACCATAAACTCTCTCCTCTTGTGGAGACATGGTGGCCTTATGATTAGTGAGGTGGAGTCAGGGTCGAGAGGTCTGCATTTGTAACCTGGCCTGTGCTGGACTCAGGGTCAAGAGGTCTGGGTTCCAGTCAATGTGTTGTGTTCTTGTGCAGAACGCTTTACTCTTACAGTACCCCTCTCCACCCAGGAATATAAATGGGTACCAGAAATTAGTCAGGGGAACCTGATGAAATGACAGGAGGGAAGAGGGGAGGGGGAGGGCGGGGGGAGGGAACCATGGGGTGGACTGTCATCATGTCTAGGGGGGAAATAATACCTAGTCGCTTCATGTGAGGAATCCAGGATTATAAGCTCAGGGCCTGGATGGGCCACTCTTAAATACAGACTTTACCTAACTACCTACAGCCTCTGGTTTAAATAACTTCAATTGCTGCTGTTACAAATTATATCAACTTGCAACATACAGATGATGATTTTGCCCAATTTATCTCAGTCAATTAGGACTGTCTTTTGTAAATCTTAAAATTTCCAAAATCCAGACAGAGGCGGAGTTTCAAAAAATTTTCAAAAAAATCCAGACAGAGGCGGTGTTTTCTATACTAATGTCTGAGCACTTTGTAGGCTTCCTGCCATCTGGCGGGACGCGTAATTAAACACACAGTGGTAAAGGGTCCTTCCGTAGTAGCTACAAGACGCTGAAAAAACTTTTTCTCTCCACCGAAAATCACATCAAAATTTGTCCTTGCTAAATTTCAAGTGTGCTACACGTATCAGCACCCCCCGGGGAACCCCTATATATAAGAGGGCGAGGATGCGCGCTGGGAATTTCGAAAACGACCCTTATAAAACTATAAAAGGTACCTGAGTCCGTGTGGGGAGTGGTAACAACTGATATCTACCCCTATAAAGTACCAATTTGAACACAAAAAATTGAAAAATCTCAAAAATAAGAACTTTTTATCGATGTGCTCTAGAGGCTCAAGTCAGATCAATAAAAATCGTCCTAGTGCTTATTAAATGCTTACTTCAGCTATTTTATTGAGCGAAAAACACCCTAAAAAGGTACCAGCTAAGTCTCTGGCAGTCCACTAAAGTTTGAGACACCGTAAAAGGTTCCAGATCACTGATTTTGACCCCTGAAAGGTACGACAAGCATCCTCACCTATTTCCGATCGCCTCCTCCCCCACCTCCCCCACCAACCCTGTCAGCACCTAAAAACAAAAGATGTGATTTGCCAACTACGAGCTATCAGTCTCACCTCGTAAAATTCACGTAAACTGGTTATTTACTTATAAAAACTTTAGGCGCTGATCTGTCAGATTTTTATGCGGAAAAAATCTGTCCTGCTTCGAGGCAGGACGGCTGTCCTTTTTTTTTTGTTTTGTGCGTCTTGACATAATTTGATAGGGATTAAAATAACTGTACGTCTGCATTTGTTAAACAGACTATTCAAGTCCAGAACTCGATGTGTGCACTTCTAGTGCATTAAGTATTCTTTTGTAACATAGCCAAAGATCTTGCGATGTCTACTGTTCAAGCCTTTTTCTCTTTTCAAAGAGGCATCAGATTTATTTTCATGTCAAATTTGCAGTAAACTGCTTGCGTGTCATCCTTTGTTTTCAAGGTGTCCGACCAGGTATGACTGAAAATGGCACCTCGCTTTGATAGGAATCCTTTTGTTGTTGCTTCTTACTTCCTGAAATTATCACTTGAAATTCTCTCGGTAATGTAAAAAAAACCAACAACAACAACGCGAGTAATACATATATATCCAAATTCTTTCATCACATGAAAAGTTGTAGGACCTGATAGCATCTTAGGGACGGACCTATTGGGGTGTTGGGCAATAACCCCCGAAAAAATTGAGCACGGGCTTAATGGAAGAAAACAAATCGTACAAAAGACCCCCCCCCTCCGCATCAAAAATCTAATAGTCCGTCAATAAGGTACCTTTTACGTTTTTCCAAAATGGGTTTCATTTCCGAATGAAATTAATTTCATGCCGCGTTTACATGCAAGATAATTTAGATTATAAAAACAAGTATTTAAAAAATAAATAAAATAAATATTTTTTTGCCAGCCTCAATAATGTCAAGGGATTAAGTTTAGATGATAAAACAAAGGATTATGCCGATAGAAATACCGGAGGTCAAGTAAATTCGTTACATGAGGTCACACAACTCGGGTAATATTCAGAGTGAAAATTTGCATATTTGAGCGGTCGAACGAAAAAAATCATTTCTCAAAAACTAAAATATATTTTCAAAAAAACTGCACCACAATTATTAGGACATATTGGGCTACAAAATATGAAAGTAGGATAGAAAACGAATTTGGACGACTTGCCGCTGTTTGTCGGATGCATGTTGACATTAGCTCTTAATTGGCTTCTGATTTTGTGTCTATGTATCCCTCCCATTCTCAGAAGGGAAAAAATATTTATTTTGCGACTGGGTAATATGTTGAGCTGATGTTTAAACCATTTTCAATCACCTTTTTTTCAGGCCAGGATGACTTAAAAGAACAACTTTTTAAGAAGCATCAGTCTTCTTACAGTTGCTATGGCTACAGGAAGAAGTTCAATTAAAGTTCCATGTGAAAATGAAGACTTACCTGACAAAGAAAATGCACCAGATTTTGACGAGGACACTTTACGAGGTGAGCTAGGTTCAACTTCGGCTTCAGTTATTGTTAGAACAATTTCTATTCGATCAGTTTCAAGAATGCAAGCAGATGTGGAAAAGGACATTTACAGTGTATGACCACTTTAAAGGATATTTGGCCAGTCATGACTCTCTTCTATGATTACAATATGCTGTTCATTGAGAAGATCTATGACACAGAAACTTTTGCTATTTTCTTTTCTAACAGTTCAAAGCAATAACACAAAGTTATAATAAGTTAAGACTTTATTTGATCATCGTATAACATCCATTGTGTAAGTTTGCATCATAGGTACCATCATCATCATCACCATCATCATCACCATCATCTTTCTATTTTAATGAAACATAATCACTTTGAAACCTTCAACATTCCCTCCCTTCTCCTCGAGCAACCCACAGGCATTTGATCTTCATCCAAGCCAAAGAGGGTGGGGGGGGGGGAAGGGGGTTTTAACCCTGCCTGACTGGCGTTAGGGAATTTGAATAAAAACTGTCACATCTAATTTCCAGTAGAGTACAAGTGTTAATTATCATTGAATATGGAGGTGTTTAAGGTAGATAGTGTACTTTCACTAACAAATGGCTTAGAAGAAATAAGGCTTCAAGATCTAGGTTTTAAAGCTTGGTCAATTAGTTTTTAAAACTTGATCAATTAGTTGAAAGTGAAATTGCTAATTATTTCGCCTTTTACATAAGATTGTGTGGGTAATTTGAACATTTTATTAAATTTGCCCAGGGAATAGGAATTTTAGGAATCTCCAGGGGTTTGCCTCGAATTGAGTGATGCTTATAATTCTCATCATTATTCTTACCCATGTTGTCACCTACATTGTTAGCATCATCATAACTATTGAAAATCTGCAGATTTTAAATCTCCAGATCTTGGCAGCTCTGACTATACACGAATAATTATTAACTACGACCACAGACTTTGACACCCATTTATTAATTTTTTTTTTAATTATTTTATTTTTTTCTTTGCAGCCACAGCTGATGTTTATAGGAATGAGGGTAATGAGGCCTTCATGAAAGGAGATTTCATCAATGCTATTCATTTTTACACCAAAGGAATTAAAATGAACTGCAATGACAAAGAACTGAAGGCCAAACTGCACAACAACAGGGCAATTGCACATTCTAAGCTTGGTAAGATGATGAGAGCTTTAATATGCATTTTTTTTTCTATTTTGAAGCTATTGAGTTGTCAGTAGTAGTTTTCTGAAAAAGGTGATGATTTTGAATGCATGCCCGGAAAAATTTACATCTTATCTTGGCCTCTCAAATATACAAAGAAGTAACCTCTTACCCCAGATATCAACGAGCATCACAAGTTTTTCCCAAAATTATAGTAATGGTAGTTGGTTTGCAACATGTATGGTTAATCAGAGATATTTATTTCAATAACAGGAAATCACCAGGATTCACTAAGGGATGCAGAAGCAGCCATTGAGATAAATCCAACTTTCCTTAAGGCAATTGTGAGAGGTTAGATATGTTAGCTGTACTATAATAATAGTAATAAAAAAAAGAACTCAACACTCTAAGGTTAAATGAGGTTAAATGGAGTTCAATCTTGTCTCAATTGACTTTAATTAAGAGGTCAAGACCACCCTGATGTACATTTGAATCCAGCTCTTGACTGCTACGCCATTACTTCCATTAATCATGATGAGAATATTATTTTGAACGGGATGAAGAACTCAATGCGGAATGCAAAGCAAAATTTCAGCATGAATATTTTAGTTCCTTAAGTTCAATGAGTCACAGGTGTCAGATATGTTGAGAGCGTGTCCACGAGAGCACCAGTCAGTCGTGCTACATACCATCTCACCGATTTCAATGAAACTTTGCCAGTTTAAAGGGTTTACCCCAAAACTCAAAAAGACAAACTGGTTTCTGTTTTGGTTTTTTTCTGAGGGAAGATAGACCACCCCCTCGTTTTTTTCTTAGTTTTCACCAAGAAAATCGCTTCAAATAGGTAAAATGTATATGAAGCTCTCATTGCAATGGTATTTAACCAATTACTTTGAGGATTTGCACACATATTTTTACATCCTTTGTAAATGTCTGCTGCGAGCATCAGTCAGTTTGATTGACGGCTTGTCAATCAACAGAGGCAAATATACGACTGTGTTTTTAGACTTTTCGATTCATCCAAATATTTGACAACTTTGAGGTCAAATATCTCCCGTTGCCAGAAAGCTACAACACTAATCTTAATTAACCTTTATAACCCATTATTTCATCTCTGAAAATCATCAAAAAAATCTTTGGGAACTACCGTATTTTTGTCTTGGATGCCTTTTAAAATCTGCGACTGTGACAAGTTTCTCTTAACTACACCTGTCACGCACTTCTTGCTCTAGGCGGTCACTTGACGAAATAAACCTACATTTTTTAGTTCTTTATACAAGATGGTTGTTCAAGAAAGGTGAAAAATGTGAAAAACTTTCGAGATTTTTTGTAGGAACGGAAAATTCCACGTTTAGAGAGATGCATGTAGACGAAAAATCAATGGGAAAATCGTAGCGTTTCTTTCTTCAGTCGTTTATTACTTTGAAGATTTGCTAAAATCAGCAGATATGGCTTTTGTGCGGCACAAAACATTCATTAGTCTATAATTTGATTGTTTATCATCATCATTGCTCATTTTAGGATATTTTAAAGCCACATGCTGCGTGTTGGTTGATATTACTACATGTTCCAGTGTACTACAACTTCGGCTTTTACAGACGAAAAATTCTGCGCTCTCGCTCGAGAGCAAATATCAATAGTTCTATCGGACTAAAAACTGTGATTCTATCCCGAAAATAAAATTCTATAGTGTTGTCGTTGTCATTTACCGCCATCGAACATTTCCATGCAGAACTCCGCTAAGCTAACATCTGTTGTGTGACCCGAAGACTCTCCGTATGAATTATTCAAGCGCGTTGTTCATGCTGTCTGCTAGATAACAATTTCAGAATAATCTGCAGATCTCTATGATTATTTGCCTGCTTCGATTGTAAAATATCTACATATTTTTTTCAAGCATTCTATCACTACATATAAATCCACATCTCTCTAGATCGAGTGTTGCCGGGTTTAATTGCGTGACTTGTAAAATTTTAAAATAAGAATGAGCCAGCAGTAATTTGACGAGTAGGCTTCCTGCAAATCTCCCTTGATGAAATCCTAAGACATAGCCAGTTGTTTTCGTGAGCAAAGACAATAAATATGAAAGAAAAGTGAGATGCAAATGTCTTTTTTTTAGCTTAATAGCAGCTGTACCCTCTCCTGCAGTCTTTGTCTAAATTTTGCAAGGTCCCTCCTTATCTTCTGCCCTGTTCGGTCAGTTTCGAATTCTGAAGCTAGATCATTGGCATCGGCCTCTCCGTCCTCATTCATATTTACAGAGGGGGACCTCATCAATAAACTAATTTTCGTACGGCAGATAACCGGCTGAAGTATCGAGCGATTTGCTGCTGTATCAACCGGTCAGTCTTAGACAACATTTCTGGCTGGTGTCGTCTCTAAAAACTCTCTCGATATTTGGGAAATCACATTAGAGGCGGTTGCCTTACTAGTTTCCTCCCTTGCCCAGCACATGTCTAGGAGATAATTCTCTGCTTTCTGAGAAAAGGTGGCTGTTTTTTGTGTCTTCCAAAGAGCCCATCCAAAGTCCACTTGGCTAGTTAAGGATTGTTCGTCAGAATTTTTATCTGAGGTCCGACCTTGAACGTAGCCATCCCCTATAGAATGGCAAGCCGGTCTTCGTCCATTTTCTCTTGATCTTATCCTAGGCGGAATTTTTTTGTCGGCTTTACTGTGTTTGTCTTTGTCAGGGTACATTTGGATGGCAGCCAATGACTGAAAAGTCTTGATACATCCTTCTTTTAGCAAGAATATCTCGCTTTCTTGTTCCGTCTATGACGGATTGGGTATAGTTCTCGCGATGACCCGCATTCAGAAATCTGTGCACGTTGCTGATAACCACCCGCTTCTACGATTAGTTTGCTGAAGGTTTCTAATGTGATGAGCCTAGTAAGACCCTGAGGTGCTTCAAACCGTGCCAGTTGGTCTGCGCTATAAACTTGTCGCAGTTCTTAAGTCAGAGGGAGGATCGCCCACCTCTATCTATGTGAGCTCCTCTACAGTACCTGCGTATCCCTAGCAATCATATGATATAAAGTTCATCTCAGTCACAAATCACCAGCTAGGAAAACTGATGTTCAGATAAGCGCTCTTCTTTCCCTTCTTCCTTATTCATTGCCGACTCTAAGATAGCAGCTACAGTACGCGTTCTATTTAGGTTTACAGTCACCTTGCCGCCACCAGGAAGACTCGCCACCAGCTTTGATTTCTTCTGCCATCTGCAGATTCATCTCTCTCCCACTTTATGTCTCCGATTTTTATGAGGAGGATACTGGCATTTACGAACCCGAAGGTCTGAATCTCATACCAAGTTGTGCACGATATTTGAGGTACATCGTGAAATCGCGGCCTTCGTAATCTCCAAATAAGCCAATACTCGTTAGAATAAGCTCCATCTCGGACGAAACGCATGTTTGGGATACACCGACGTCTCTCAAATGTTTTTTTTTAAGCTGTATACCCACGAATTTAGAGGTATGAGCTGTTGCCGTCCCTGCCCAGCGCGAGAAAAATAACATTTGGTTCTACAGTTAGTTGCAAATGAACAAGACAACTGCACCATCTTGACTTTATCAATTCGAGTGTTAGATGGAATTGAGGACTTTTTACACCCGCGATTTCTTATATGGCATCACTATGAAGACGTAATACAACTGATACACCTACACTACATAGGATTAACAATGTCTGTTGCGCTGTTGCGAGAAGGACGAAAATATTACCGGAAGTGTAAACTCTTTTTAAAAAGAGTTTCAGAGACGTTTCAGAGATGTCTATCTTTGATCGGCTGTCACAAAAAAATGACCCCCACTTAAATTTACTTGGAAAAATGAACTTACCAACTCCTTGTTGAAAAAATTGGAATTCATTTGACCGATACGCCGGCTTTTTCCTCGGGCTGCTATAAAACAGTTCATAAATTGACTAATGAATAAAATGTTTTGAAATACCGTTCGGAACTTGCCTTTTTTTCTGCGTGCAAATCAAGGGTAGATAAAGTTTTTAAAACGTTTGACTAGAATTTCATGGAGTTCACCTCGATAATTTTCGTCGGCCAGAGTCAACACGCGCCAAGGTAAGCGACATCGCCCTCCAGTAAAATAATTTTCCAAAGAATAAACGTGGCAAGCGTGATGAAACGCACATTTTTTTATCATTGTGATCAAAGCCCGATGATGTACCTAAATTGGTACTTACGGTATCAAACCATTGATTATGACAGGATGAGCTTAATTTTTTCTGTCGAGGTCGACAGCGTTTTTGACGGAACAAACTAGTGAGCATCACTGCACGAACTGAGAAAGTAAAAACTTTTATTTATCTCCCACGCGTTTCGTCTGACAATAGTAGACTTCATCAAGGATTTTTTCAAGTAGGGTAAATAAGCTTTCTCATATTCAAATAGTAAATAAGTTGTCTCTTTGTTATTAAAGCCAATAGATAGAATTCGCCTGGTGCGCCTAAGGTGTTATACGTGCGTGACATTTTCCGGACGTTACATGTACGAGTACGTAATCCGTTTGAGGGTCACAGATTTAGGGTAGATATTTCACCCCTCAACATCACGCAATGTCTCTAGTTTATAGAGGTCTTAGAACGTTTCATTATATGGAGTTGCCTTCTGCGGGTAGAAGGCTGCAAGCGAATTTCTCAGGCGTAATTGCCTTTGATTTCTCATTTGATGTTGTCGCAAACACAGTTTTTGGGAGTCACGAGACGAAAAAAACTTATCAGGACCTAGTTTCATGTTCTAATGGAAATAAATAGCAAATAAGAACACATTTTCTTTAGAAACAAAGTCACAAATGACGGGGGTTCTCTGAAACAAATAGTGATAGAAAAGGATTTCAGGTCTGGTCAATATTGACTTTTCATGGCCTACTTCCAAATCTGAGGGAACGCGCTGAGGGAATAAAAAAACATAATTGTGTGATAATGCAAGCAAGAGAATGAAAATCCAATTGAAGAAAAAGGAGAAGACATAGGAACCCGTGTTGCAGCGTGCAGATATCTTTCGAGCCAGACCTACACACCTAAGCCCGACACCACCCAGAGAAACTCGAAAGAGTCCTGTATATGAAATAGCTCGCACGTGCATGCAGGAGAGGCCATGACAATCAGCGAAAATAATAGCAAATGCAAATGATATTTGCAGTCAAAAAACAGGAAAATAAGATAACAGAAGGATTAAGAACTTTCTAGAAGTGTCTTCTTGAAAAGAAAAGATGAACAATTTTTACTTCTCATGAAAAGTCACGCAGTAACCCTACAAATACTATTTCTATAGGTAGAATTTCTTGACGGTGGAAAGTGGAAAAAACATTTTCCAGTCTTATTTTCTGGAAACATGGCGTGGTTAATTAATTTATGGGGCTATTGATATTTCCTATCAAATAAGGGGGGCAGAGTTTCCCGTCATTCGCGGTATGGAAAAGCCGAAGTTGTTACACTCGGGAACTTGTACGTCAACAAGCAGGCGACATGTGACTTTAAAATCTCCTCTACTATTACAGTTTCCTTATTGTAAACTGTACGATAATGATAATAGACGATCAAAGTATAGGCTAATGAATGTTTTGTTCTGTACAAGTTCCCTATGTCCTGATTTTAGCAAATATTCAAAGTAATAAACGGCTGAAGAAAGAAACGCAACGATTTTCCCTTTGATTTTTCGTCAACATGCATCTCTCTAAACGTGAAATTTTCCATTCCTACAAAAAATCTCGAAAGTTTTTCACATTTTTCACCTTTCTTGATCAATCATCTTGTATAAAGAGCTAAAAAATGTAGGTTTATTTCGTCAAGTGACCGCCTAGAGCAAGAAGTGCGTGACAGGTGTAGTTTAGAGAAACTTGTCACAGTCGCAGATTTTAAAAGGTATCCAAGACAAAAATACGGTAGTGCCCAAAGTTTTTTTTGATGATTTTCAGAGATGAAGTGATGGGTTATAAAGGGTAATTAAGATTAGTGTTGCAGCTTTCTGGCAACCGGAGATATTTGACCTCAAAGTTGTAAAATATTTAGATGAATCGAAAAGTCTAAAAACACGGTCGTATATTTGCCTCTGTTGATTGACAAGCCGTCAATCGAACTAACTGATACTCGCGGCGGCCATGAACTAAGGATGTAAAAATATGTGTGCAAATCCTCAAAGTAATTGGTTAAATACCATCGCAGTGAGAGCTTCATACATTTTACCTATTTGAAGCGATCTCATTGGTGAAAACCAAGAAAAACCGGGGGGTGGTCTATCTCCCCACGGAAAAAACCAAAAAAGAAACCAGTCTATTTTTTTGAGTTTTGGGGTAGAGCCTTTAAACTGACAAAGTTTCATTGAAATCGGTGAGATGGCATGTAGCACGACTGTCCGGTGCTCTCGTGGACACGCTCTTAAGTCACTATCTAGCTGTTTTAGAAAAAAGGATAAGGACTTACCTAACTCTTAGTGTTTTTATGGGAGTTGTTGATCCCAATTTAAGTGTTCTTAGAAGTCTCAGTTGTCTGTAAAGCTAAATAAATCTAACTGAAACCTAATAGGGCCTGTTTAGTTTATTTTGTTTTGTTTTGTCTTTTTTTTTCTTCTGGTCTGTAATGATTTCAATGGTTTCAGGTTCTTTTCTCAGAATTGAGCTACAGTAATAGTATGCTTCTTTGTGTTGTTGCCTACAGGAGCCACTGCTTGTGTTGAATTGAAGAGATTTGAAGGAGCAATCACTTGGTGTGATAAGGGACTAGCTGTATCCTTTGAAGGAATCTTTCATTTTTAACCGTGGGTATAAAAAAAAGTTTCCATAATTTGATGTTTTAAGGGAGAAAATACAAAGAAGGGTATTAATTATGATGGGAACTTATCAGTTCATATACTTTAAGTGTGTGTGATTAAAAACATAGGAGAAGTTATTACCTCATGACTTATTAATGAAATTACTCATTTTAGCCAATTTGACTTAGTTCTACTATCCATGCCAATAACTGGTACATTAGTTTAAATAACCCTTTAATTTCCCAGACCAAATTTGTAATTATCCTTACTGTCAACCATACAATTCTTGTAATGTTAGTACAGAGAATTCAGTACTGCATCAACTAACTATTTTCAAATTGATGTATTTTTTTTTACTCTCAACACTTATCTGATTGATATTGTATTGCTATTGTAAGGAGAAATTATCTTTTGGTCACTCACGGGAGTTAAAGGGTTAGAAGACTAATATTCATCCAGTTTATACATAGTACTTGGGTAGATGATCTCTCTAAAACAAGCCAGAACAAAAAGCTCGGTAATGTTTACATATTTTATGCAGATTTTCTCGCCTTCGACCTTTTTCCACTACTTAGAGACTCGGAAACTTTCGTCCTGCTTGCCAAATAAAAAAATTTAAAGACATGTGTTTGTGTTGTAGACTCATTTCTTCCACTACTGTAAAACATTTGTCTGATGTTAAAGCTATATTAATTTAAAAATTGAGCAAGTGCTGCTCAGTTTTTGAAAACTAAGGATTAAATCTAGATATTTCGCGTTAAATTTTGAGGCTGTAGACAGAAAAAACATTTTTTGAAGTGTAGATTTACTTCACAACTGACTTTAAGACTGAATGTTGATAAATCATCTACCTTTCATGCAAATCCCTCCTAATGGGCCATTTTATAGTCGTGTACTTAGTTGCCAAGCCTTTGATTTGGAGTGAGGCTGAAGGTGACCTTGTTGTGATAGAGACCAGTATCTAGAAACAATAATAACAAAGTAGTTTGCATTTAAAAAGCAGCAATGTTTTTATCATAACAAGGTCAGCCTTTATCATCCCTCTTGTTCAGAGGCTTGGGAACCAAGCACGCAAATGTTAAAATGGACTATTACATATCAATATGATCAGAAACATAATCTTTTTTGTGTTTCCACATTTAACCCTTAACATAAAAAAAGATTGACAAAAACAATAGGATCTTGTCGTCATTAAGAATTCAGTCTGTCAGAGAAGTGGGAGATAAGTCCATGGCGGAAAAAGATCCTATTAGTCATGACCACGTTAGCGCAAGTTCAGGTGATATCAAGAAAGTCATAGACTTCTATAATTGGGGAGAAGAAGCCATAGAGTACTTAAACCTATATCTTAAAAAAGCTAAAGAAGTAGGAGACAAGCATGGGGAGGGAAACACTTATGGTAATCTTGGCAATGCTTATCACCGTCTGGGTGATTTAAAAAAAGCCATAGAGTACCACAACCTACATCTTAAAATAGCTAAAGAAGTAGGAGACAAGCATGGGGAGGGTGGTGCTTATGGCAATCTTGGCAATGCTTATCAGAGTCTGGGTGATTTCAAAAAAGCCATAGAGTACCACAACCTACATCTTAAAATAGCTAAAGAAGTAGGAGACAAGCATGGGGAGGGTAATGCTTATGGCAATCTTGGCAATGCTTATCACAGTCTGGGTGATTTCAAAAAAGCCATAGAGTACCACAACCTACATCTTAAAATAGCTAAAGAAGTAGGAGACAAGCATGGGGAGGGTGGTGCTTATGGCAATCTTGGCAATGCTTATCACAGTCTGGGTGATTTCAAAAAAGCCATAGAGTACCACAACCTAGATCTTAAAATAGCTAAAGAAGTAGGAGACAAGCATGGGGAGGGTGGTGCTTATGGCAATCTTGGCAATGCTTATGATAGTCTGGGTGATTTAAAAAAAGCCATAGAGTACCACAACCTACATCTTAAAATAGCTAAAGAAGTAGGAGACAAGCATGGGGAGGGTGGTGCTTATGGCAATCTTGGCAATGCTTATGATAGTCTGGGTGATTTAAAAAAAGCCATAGAGTATCACAACCTACATCTTAAAATAGCTAAAGAAGTAGGAGACAAGCATGGGGAGGGTGGTGCTTATGGCAATCTTGGCATTGCTTATGGCAGTCTGGGTGATTTCAAAAAAGCCATAGAGTACCACAACCTAGATCTTAAAATAGCTAAAGAAGTAGGAGACAAGCATGGGGAGGGTGGTGCTTATGGCAATCTTGGCAATGCTTATGACAGTCTGGGTGATTTCAAAAAAGCCATAGAGTACCACAACCTACATCTTAAAATAGCTAAAGAAGTAGGAGACAAGCATGGGGAGGGTGGTGCTTATGGCAATCTTGGCAATGCTTATCACCGTCTGGGTGATTTCAAAAAAGCCATAGAGTACCACAACCTACATCTTAAAATAGCTAAAGAAGTAGGAGACAAGCATGGGGAGGGTGATGCTTATGGCAATCTTGGCAATGCTTATCAGAGTCTGGGTGATTTAAAAAAAACCATAGAGTACTACAACCTACATCTTAAAATAACTAAAGAAGTAGGAGACAAGCATGGGGAGGGTGCTAGTTATGGCAATCTTGGCAGTGCTTATCGCTGTCTGGGTGATTTAAAAAAAGCCAGAGAGTACCTCAACCTACATCTTAAAATATCTAAAGAAGTAGGAGACAAATCCATGGAGGCAATGGCCTACTGTTCATTAGGATGCGTTTCTGAGTTGCAAGGTGAACTGCCAAAAGCCGTTGAACATTACCAAGCTAGCATAAGCTTATTCAATTCCTTGAGAGTACTTCTAAAATCTAAAGATGAGTGGAAAGTTAATTTTCGGAATCAGCATCAAATGGCGTATACGGGTTTGTGGAGAGTTCTCGTAGAACAAGGTAAGGTATATGAAGCCTTATTTGTTGCTGAGAAAGGACGATCTCAAGCTCTAACCGACCTCATGGAATCCAGGTTTTGTGGTGGAACAAGTCACCACAAGGGAGAAGATGAAGATTGCGCAGTTTTAAAAAACGTTCCATCAAACACTGTCTTTCAGGCAGTGGACAAAGCTAACGTCAATCTTTGGGTTGTGTCCGAAGGAAAACAAGTTCAGTTAAGACAAAGTAAACTCAAAGGTTTTGTTTCAGAGAATAGTGGATCTAGCCAGTCCTTTGAGTCGTTCATGCTCGGTGTCTATACACAACTTGGTGTTCGTTCTAATGTGAGATGCGAGAATCGATCTTTAGATGCTTTGAGGGAGGGCCGTTCAAAAGTGGATGAGAAAACCATAGAAGCCAACCCTCAACCTCACTTCCAACAAGACGGATGCTTGAGCACTTTGTATGATATCGTTATGAAGCCGGTGGCTGACTTGATTCAAGGGGATGAGCTACTCATTATTCCTGATGGACCCCTGTGGATCGCTCCTTACGCTGCATTGAAGGATGGTAATTCTAAATACCTATGTGAATCGTTCACAATCCGAGTCGCTCCATCGTTAGCAAGTCTTAGACTCATTGCCGATTGCCCAGATGATTATCACAAAAGCAGTGATGCGTTACTTGTAGGAGATCCTTGGGTATCCGAGGTTACTAACAGCGAGGGAGAGAAAGTCCTCGAACAGCTTCCGTGTGCTAAAGAAGAAGTAGAAATGATCGGAGAAATTCTGAATATCACGCCAATCACTGGCAGAAAAGCCACGAAACGCGAGGTGTTGAAAAGACTCAGTTCCGTTTCCTTAGTTCACTTTGCAGCACACGGATGTATGGAAACTGGCGAAATTGCTCTTACACCTGACCCAGACCGAATATCTACTGTGCCTACCAAGAAAGAGGATTACATTTTAACGATTGGAGATGTGTTGAATGTTCAACTTCGTGCTAAACTTGTTGTGCTCAGTTGCTGCCACAGTGGTCGGGGCGAGATCAAGGCTGAAGGTGTGGTTGGCATTGCACGCGCTTTTATGGGGGCTGGTGCTCGGTCTGTTGTGGTGTCCCTGTGGGCGATTGATGACGAGGCTACTCTCGAGTTCATGAAATGCTTTTATCAACACCTTGCAGAAGGTAAATCTACAAGCAAGTCACTGAACCTGGCCATGAAAAGCCTCAGAGAATCAGATGAGTTCCGCGACATCATATACTGGGCGCCCTTTTTGCTGATTGGAGATGACCTCACGTTTGACCTGATGGCAAAGGAAAGAGAAAATTTGAATAGAAAATCAAATAAATGAGAAAATTTTATTTTTCATCTCAAAAGAATGAAGTAGGAACTTGGGAGGTTTAAATGTTTCTCTATTTTAAACAATTTTTGGCTATTTTTCTTTACTTTTTACTTTTTTGTTAAATGGAACTTGAGATGTGCAACTTTACTATGGTGAAGAAATAAACCAGTCTATTTCATTATATTTTGATCAGTGGAATTGTCATTTTTTGTTACTTTAACAAATTTACATGCTTGCGAAGAGAACGAAATGCAACAAGGCCTCTGTTATGAACGAGGTTTCCATTTCCACCAACATGTCACTCAGCTCTGTTCCTGTATTACAATCAGTTGTATGGAAAATAATTTAAAGGTTATTTCTTTTACCCAACCAGGGGCTTTTCCACCGGATTTTAATTACCTTTATGCTCTAAGCTTTTGATAAGCAAAGAAACAATTCGTCATTTGCAAAAGTTGGCGAATTTTTATTTCCAAAACTTTGATTGAATATGTATGTGAATTGATCTTAGACTGTTTTTTACATCATAAATTACTTTGTTACAATTTACCTTCATCTTTACAAAAAAATTGATTACCATTTTCAACTCAATCCATTTTAATGCAATCTAGTTCTGTCAGTGCCAAGATTGCCATTCTAAGCTTAATTTGAAGAAGTAAACATCAGAGATGATGTTGTTAAATTTACTAACCATATGTTAGAGACATTACACTTACTTTTAGGGGTGTAGCCAGCCTCTAGTCCCGTAGGCCCGGCTTACAATTGTTTTCTGCCCGCTTGACTTTTACTAAAGGATGATATGACGCAAATGTTGAAACAAAAACTGAAATTTGTGAGGGAAGAGGCTTACATTTAGTCAAAAAGCTGGCTACAACCCTGTTTTCAATCAAACGAGTCTGGCCAATTTTTGTCCGTTTTACCAAACACTTCTCCGTTCGTTTTAAAGGAGGACGACGGAGAGGCTAAAAATTGTCCTTGTAATCTAAACTAGGAAAGAGGGACGCAGAGTTCACTATAATTAAAGTTTCCATAGCTGTCACTTTTATTGTATGTGACATGGAATTTGTTGTTTCTAGTACGACAATATTTACGCTCATAAATGAGAGAAGCAGTTAACGTAAGCCATGTAGTCCTCAATGGGAATTATTTTGGTGAAAAGGCTCATTAATTAATGTAAACCTAGTGCGTTGTTGAAAACGTTCAGGGCTTCAGGATAAAACTTCTTATTGTTGAAAATCACCTCTTGAAATTTTTTCATCGCTTTGAATTTACCTCAGCATGATTTGAGGATGTCTGATAATATGCGTGGTTGAATATAATGTAACTAGGATTTTAAAGACATGCTAGGACAGTTTCAACTAAACATGGTTTGTATAATGTCAGTGTATTTCGTGTGAAGTGTTTTGATGCTATTTTTTTTTTAAGTTGAAGATAATTGTTCATTTATCTTAGTTTATATTTATTAACTCATGAACTCCCAAGTTCTGAAGAAAAATTCTCCCAACTGATAAGAATGTGTTTCTCTTTGCTGCTGCTTGTTCCGAGAATTCGATGTAACATTATGTTTCTAGTAAAAGATTATCCTCCAGTTTGGATTTTCTCTAATTGTTATTGACTCCATGTTTGTCGGTGTATTAATACCGTGAGGAGAATTTAAATTATGATCAGTCTTGGGAGTAAATGGGTTCATTTTAGCGTCTCCGTTTAGCGCATATTTTACTTAATGCCTTGAACAATTTCATGCAGTTTCTATTGTGCTTATTTTTTTTACTTCTTTGTGTAAGAGAAATATACAGTGTATAAAATACAAAAACTGCGTTGATTTACATTGTCTGTCTTTATATTCTTAGGATGCACGAAGATGTAGAGAAAGCAGATCCTATTAGGGACTTCAACACTTGTTTTGACCCGCGCACCAAGTTGATAATGTGTGCAGCTAATAGTGTACTAACATTCCATGTTTCAAGCCCCCGCCCACTTGACAAAAGCGCGTCATCTCTTCGATTGTGTCTCTTCCACTGTCTATCGTTCTCCGTATTGCCACACGGTTTTGAACGCCGACGGACGTGTTCATACTGTTACATATCTGCGCCTTTTTTTATCTTTTTCCTCACACAAGTTTTTACACCTTTTCACATTTGCGCATCCCTTTTTTTTCTCCTTCCTCTGGTTCCTTCCTTTTTTTTTTTTTTTTTTTTTTCATCGCAATTTTCCTTTATTCCCATCTTTTTCATGTCTGTTTCAGTTTTCACTCGTCTCAATCTTCGCGCAACGTCAGGCTTCTTACAACTCATATACCTCGTTACTCCCCCATAGTAGTTGTTATCATGCGTATTATGTCCACTTTGGAACGGTGTCCTCTTAAAGTCATCTCTAGTAAAATCTCAGTTTTCCTTTCGATTGATTCCTAGTCCACAGGGTGCGACATAATCAGTGCATTTAGTCGGAAACGAGTCCCTCCATGTCCAAATTAAGGCTTCTTCTATCAGCATGTGATTGGGAATGAGTCAAACTCTCGCCCAGGGTCCACATACAATGCGAATCCAAGATGGCGGCAGGCCAATCCACAGCCGGACTCTACTGAGTGGGTAGCCGCCATCTCGGATGTAGACGCAGAGAAAACCCTGAGGAAGAGTTTTGACAAAACAATCATTGAGAAAGGATAAGTTACAATAATGCTTAGAGAGATAGCCGATGACAACTTGAGAGATTCATCATGAGCAAACACGTTCCGTCGATTATTAAACTCCATGTCTGTTCGAATACGCACTCCTATATGCCCCTCTTCCCCGTCCCTATACATCCCTCTACTGCAAGTTTTATCATCATACAGCACAATACAACATTATACCCCAGAGTAGCACTGTAAATCCGTAAAATGCAGTAACTAGACAACGCTTCACAACAATATGTACCCCTAGATAGCACTATGCTTCCCTCTACTGAATTTTAAATCACCATACAGCGCTATATAAACAATTGCTCCAATTTGGCGCCAAAATAAGTGCGAATATTTGCCGCAGTCATTTTCTCGAATTTTCTGTTCCAAGATGCGGAAACTGTGAGCTTCGAGGAACAGATGATATCCAAGGACAAATATCCGTACATATTTTCGCGCAAAATAGACGCTAATGTGTTTTTTATCCTTGAAATATTTTGCGACGCTCGTGAAAAATGTTAATGAACAGCTTACTGAATTGAATTAAGAAAAGGTTAAGTTTCTAAAAAAATTGTGATGCTGCGTCGGTGGGAGAGTATAACATGGTAATTTAGTGAGTTGATAACGTAAATTGGCCACTGCAAAGAGTTTAAAAACTGACGTTTCGAACGTTAGCCCTTCGTCAGAGCGATTGCAAAGGGCAAACGCTCGAAACATGAGCTTTTAAACTCTTTGCGGTGGGCAATTTACGTTATCGATTCAGTTGATAATGCTTAATTACCCTGAATTGCATTCATTTTGAGATGAAGACTTATCGTGGTGGACGTAAGGTCTGCAAATTGGGGGATTTGGTTTAGGTGATATTCTCGAATATCACTTAGTTTTAGCCAGGGAATATTCAGTCACTTACTGCGTTAAGACCAATCGCGCGCGAGCAAAATTATTTGATGGATCATAAGCAATAATATGTACCCTTAGATAGCACTACACTTCCCGCTACTGTAATTTACATCACAATACAGCGCTATACAACAATATGTACCCCTAAGTAGCCTTGATCGGCATAATAGAATACAGATATCGAAATGCTCCAGCCTCACGGGCCATGGTTTATGTCTTTCTCCCAAGTTCATTAGATATTCGATGAAAACCTCTGCGTCGTTCAAAGAAAACACAGCATTTTCCAGCGCAGTCATGACTCGTCTGACGTGAAGATACAGAGATCGAGAGTTGATTACGGCTTCAAGTTTCAAACTCTTAAAGGCGGGAAATATGTCTTGAACTCTTGGGTTGGACTCAAAAAGTCTGAAACAAAATCATTCATGATCATCGTTATCAATTCTGAATAATTGAAATTCGATTCACGTTTACTTTGGAAAATAAATTTTACTCCTATTTTGCCAGTTATACAAAGAAATCAAGATACTGACAAGACGCAGCTACAGCGTTGTGAATCTCCATCCTCATCTTCAACAGAACTGTGCTATCACGAAGATAGTGCGTGCGTTTGCATTTTAAAGTCACTTTTGCACAAAATAATGACCCGATTGGCAAGAATACAGGCTAAACACGCAACAGCGCTGGTGTTTTGCGTTTGCGCTCTGGCGTTTGCTCTCTAAAAGGCCCGAGAAAACGTTTTCATTGTCTATTAAATTATTGATTGTTTTTATTCCTCGGGTTCTTCTTTTAAACCGGAACTCGGTTCTTAGCGACTTGTTCAAATACTGCACTAGTTAAGACGTAACCTAACTCTTTATACAATAGGAAATAGACAAACAACAGGTGGCACCTTTTATAGGACATTAAACACGTTATGATAAGTCTGCAAATTCTTTAGACAACAATAGTCATCAACAATTCATAAACATCGGTCACAGTTGCGAAGTTTACGCGTCATATTTCAGTGTTTTGCATTTGGAAAACTCATTTTTTATTTATACGATGACTAGCCCTCTTTCTCACAAATATGAAAATTATTCTGAACCTGGTTAGCTCAGAGGTGATTTAGACAGTAAAAATAATGTCAGTAAATGTAAACAGCCACTGATCCTATTTTGTAAACTTATAAATAATTGTTCTCAGTTCCTCAGGATCGGATGTGCTATTTTTTCCTTCTCATTTCTCAAATGATATATATGTATGTTTGAATGTTATATCTGGGGACGAATTTTTCCAGCAAAAAAAAGTTTGGGCTCCAGAGACACAATGGTGACCTATTGACATGAAAAAGAAAAAGAAAAAAACACACTTGAAATATAGATCCATTTTAGGTGAACATCGTTGAACGTTATAGAAAACAAACAAATTGAGTTTGAAAGGTGCACGCATTTCGGCTGGGGAACATAGTTGCATTTACTGCTCTAGTTTAGTGGAACAATTTATACAACAATAGGTTTTTCAATGCTTACTCAATGGGATGTGTATCTTTAACGCTGTGTTTTATCGATACCATGGCCATCACCAACGCAGTAAATACTAAAAAATATAAAAAAAGTAATAAGTAGTAAATACTTTTATTTCGAATTTCTCAGTCAATATTTTCTCCCTCAAATGCTCTTAATGTGTCCTAATTTCTCTGATTTCCGACAATGAAAGACGTCCCTGCGGTTAACTAACGAGGATCGCTAACTTTTACTTTTTCTTGGGTGTATAAATTGTATTGCCGCTTCGTGTTACTTAAGAGCTAATTAAGCTGAGCTTGTTTGAACAAGTTACAGCTGTCGACTTCACAAAAATTCGCAGGCAATACCCGGCATTTACCTTGGATAAAATAAATAATTCGGGAGAATTAAAAGGAATATTTAAGTCATGGATTTGATTTTGTGCAGGCGTTGATGATCGGAACACTTTCAGTTTCGTCTGCGTGTCATGCACACAATCATGAACGTGTTTTTCACAAGCTTTCGTATCAGGCTAACATAGGTGTTAATTTAATGTGCTCCCGTATTTACCATGCATTTGATCAAAAACCTAGAAACATTTCCAGCTTATTTCACGTGTTTATGTTTATTATTTTAAACAGTTTAAAAGTAATTTTTTCCTTTTTTGATAGACTGCTTAGATTCTCCCTTTTAACTGTACTGTTACACTGATTTCCATGTTAAATATTGAGAAACGATGTCTTTTCTTCAAATGTCACCTAGTGATTTATTGGAAGCGTCCTTTCAACTAACTGCCTTTGATTTTTAGGAATCCAATTCATCAACTGGTAATGATAGATTGGTATCTGAGTAAAGTTTACCTTTAAATGGGTAGCAGAAATTATAGCCAGGTAAGCCTGATGAAATGCCAGGGGGAAAGGGGATGGACTGGCATCCCATCCAAGGGGTGTAGTTACTCCCACTCACTTCATGTGAGGAAACCAGTATTATAAGCTCAGGGCCCGGATGGGCCACTGCTCAAATACAGACTTTACCTAACTACCCACAGCCTCTTAAATAATTTGAATTGCTGTTGCAACAAATTATATGAACTTGCAACACTTGCCCAATTTTTTTTGAGAGTGGATTCTCTCTTAGAGTATTTTCAACAATAAAAGTAAACGATTAGTTGAATTATTTGTAGCTTCATTTCAAAATGTTTATTCTTTTTCTGTTATTTTCTTTTTTTTCTCTTTTTGATTCCCCCTCTTCTCATTAATAATTATTCAAAAATTCATATCATTATAATATTTTTGAGTAGAAGAGAGTGGTTATCAAAGTCAATAACAAACAAATATGAAAACAGCGGGGCAGCGGTGTGTTATGGGAATTCACTGATTGTGCACAAACATCAAATATTGAGCGCACAATGTGACTGAATAAATTAAGGGAACGTTTCTATTGGTCAGTGAGTTAAGCCTGCGTGGATTAGTATTAAAAGTTGTATGTGATGGAGGTTGAAAAACCTAACTTAATATGCAACTAGGCAATCTGTCACGTTTTATTGCCATTATCCTAGTACGAGAGTTATGTGGTCGATAGCAATTGGTTTTCTTGTATCGTAACTGTGTACTTGCCTATTTCTTCTCAATAAGAGCGTTTACGACAACTTCACGAGCAGAGGTAAGAACACTCAGCTTTAGAGTGACAATTGGAGTGAGGTAAGGGTGTGTGATGTCAGCACTCTTCTTCAACATTGCGACTGTTTGGGTGCTGCAGCGAACAACTGAAGACCAGACCAGAGGCATCCGATAGACATTATTCTCTGCATACGAGGACCTCGACTTTGCTGATGACCAGGCGCTGCTTTATCTCACACCTATCATCATAAGCAAGAGAAAACATCCCGTCACTGTGGCCTTATTCGACAGAATTGCCCGTAGATCGGCTAAAACAAGACGGAAGTTATTATTCTGAATGTCCCAAACTCCCAGCTGATCAGAGCAAACAGAGAGGATCTTCCAACGACGGGGGAATTCACGTACCAGGGCAACACAGTCAGACATGATGGAAGAGCAAACAAGGACATCAAGAACCGCTTAGTGAAGGCCATCAATGTAGTCGGAATGCTCAACTATGTATGGAGGTACCAGCAGCAGAGCACCAAGACCAGGCTAAAACTATATCATAGCTGTGTCCTATCCACCCTGATATATGGCTCTGAATGCTGGAGAATGTCAGAAGGCGATCTTGCAGATTGTCAGTCTTTCACAGTCTTCTTAAATTTTGTGTGAGACATTTGATCAACATATTCACGCGGTTGTCATTGAAAAAAAAACCTAAAATGTTTTTCTTTTATCAAAATTAAAAGTCAAGATGGTGTCATTTCTTTGTTTCAGGAAGTGATTTCAATGATATTGAAGAGTTTGCCAAGTCATAAAACTGGTTTCCAACCTTTATCAGGGCGTGTTTTTCCAAATAAAACTTTAATTTTCTTTGTAGAATCACCAAAGCAATATTTTTGATGAGTGTTGTCTACAAGATAACATCTCTGTTTACACAACTTAATTACTGTCTAGAACGTTGTAATATTACAGTTAAGGAAGTTTCTAGGCCGACAATTTTTCTAACTTCCTCTTTCATTCTGGATACGCAAATAAAAGGTTTTAAACCAATACTTAATTTAGGGCCTATATTGACTTTTCCGCTTCTTTATTCGACAACAATATGTTCATCCAATATCCTCTCGGTTTTAGAATTAAGGTTTTAATTCAAGCATAAATTTAAGGTAGTTTAAGTTAAAATTTCAAATTTGACTGTCACTTAACTTCCGCGATCTTATATGGCCATGAAAAAAAGTTAATTTCCCTATAAAATGCCGAAAATTATTAATAACAAACTGAATCTCCATTTTTTCTGAGAGAATGATTTAATTTTTTCAGCTATTTCTTATCGCAGAAATGAGAGTTGTTCAAACTCTTCAAGATATCTTATCCCTTTCGTGAGCGGCGGAATAGCATGTTTGTTTATTAACCAGCTGTGTGAAGAAATTGTTTAGACAAGATACGGAAAAATAGAAGCAACTTCTTTTCTTTCACTCGAAAGATATATGTCGAATATTAAAAGCGACCCAAAAACACTTATCCGCAGGTAAATAACTGAGTACAATTAAAACAAACCTCTTTCAAACAAACCTCTTTCAGCACGTGCTCTCGTCTAACAGAAACATAAAATGGTGTTGTTATTTGGCCCTACAACTTCCAACTTGATGACAATGATAACAGCGATGACATACAGACATCTCTGAATATTCATTAATTGCAATGTGTTTAAAGATAGGACGTGATGGAAAATAACATTTGTTTTTCGGTGTTAATCGCGCACACCAGCGGGTTTTGCCGATCAGTGCTTCAAAAAGACCGTGCAGAAGTGTAAGTTACTTATCTTTTTGCTGAGCTTATCGACCAAAAGCAGTGATGACAAGTAAACTCTCCCTTAAGCTTGCCACAAGAGAAAAGGCGTTAGTTTGGACTGAAACAGTTTTGTTTGCTGTTACCAATGTTGTGGCCATCCTTGGGAATCTCCTCACTCTTTGCGCCGTGTACCATAACCACAGACTACGTACGATTCCCAAAATATTCGTCATAGCACTAGCTGTGAGCGATATTCTGATGTCTACTATATGTATGCCTTTTACAGTTGCACGTCTTTTCCACGGCAGGTGGATCTTTGATGAAACGGTCTGCCGCTTTCAAGCATTTGAGATCTTTGCGTTTGGCAAGTGTAGTCTTGGAACTATGGCAGCAATTGCAGTCAGCCGATATTTCTGTGTTGTTAATTGGGAAAAGTATCTCTCGCCGTTTAAGAAGAAAGGGGCCTTGATGCATATTTTCATTGTTTGGTATCCCATATTACTCTTCAAAAATGACAGCATTGGATTCCAGCCTGGAAAGGCAATGTGTCTGTACAAATTTGAAAGTAACATTGCTTACTCTGCCTCAATCCTTTGCTGTTTCCTCACAACACCCTTGATTATCATCAAGATCTGCTATGTCATAGTGTTCCGCGCCGTGTCGAGATCAAATCGTGTTTCCTCACTGGAAAATAACCTGGAACTTCTTCGGGTTAATGTTAAAGAAGCCAAAGCGTTTAGTAGCAGTTGTGGTCGGTTTTGCTTTGGCTTCCTGTTTTTGTCGTTGATAACATAGACATGACACGTGGAGGACCCACGCTACCACGACAAGTGTACTTGACTAACAGCCTCTTAATTTACCTGAGTAGCACCATAAACCCATTCATATATTGTGCCACAGATAAGAGGTTCAGACGAGAGTACAAGGTTGTTTTGAGGAGGATTTTTACCTTTAAATGCCGAAACAACAGGGAGAACGGTGACGCCTAACTGAAATAGCCAGAGAAGTGTGGTAGGAAATAGATTTTTCGGAGATTTTGTCCGAGGTTGTTGCTGGTAAAATCAGAAACAAAGGACTAACGACATTATTTGACACTCATCATCCGTCAAGTGCGTTTATCAACCGAGACGTTTTGAAGTAGTATCTAATACCCCATTTGGTGTTTTCTCATCAGTAAATAATCCAGAACTCCTTCGGATGAATGTGGAGGAAGCCAAAGTGACGAGGCGTTTGGTTGCAGTTGTAGTCGGCTTTGCATGCTGCTGGCTTCCTATTTTCATCATCGACAATATCGACATGGCGCAGGGAGAGCCCACGTGCACGCTACCACGACCAGCTTACGTAACATACGGCTTTTTGCTTTACTTGAGTAGCACCATAAACCCCTTCATATATTGTGCCACAGATAAGAGGTTCAGACGGGAGTATAAGGCTGTTTTCTGGAAGATTTTTAGCTTCAAATGCCGAGCCAACAACGAAAACAACGACGCCTAACTGAATTGGCACAAGACCTGGTGTAGTGGTAGTTTTTCATGACATTTTTAGTGAGGTTGTTATTGGTAAAATTGGAAACATTTGTAGGTCTTCACAAGAACCCATGTTTATTTGTAGACTGGCTTTTGTTACCGAAAAGAGTGACAAAATAAATACTTTGCACAAACCTGGAAGTCATTAGGAGGATCCCTAAGACAAGCACCCTTAGTGATTTCAGCATCTGGCGGGGAATTACCCCCTTCTCAGTACCAAGAAAAATCTTGGCCAACATCATCATCAAGTGAATATTAAACACAGTGGACCAAGAGCTCGGGAAGGAACAAGTAAGGTTCAGGGAAGGAAAGGAATGTAGCGAACAGATCTTTACTAGCAAAATATCATCAGGTAACGCACAGACTGGAAAAGACAGCTGTGCATTAACTTTTACAAAGCAGTTGACAGCATCCATAGAGATAGTCTCTTTTTTATTTGAAAGAGGAATTTTGTTCTCGAGCAAAACTGTTAATTATGTAATAATAAATTTTTGTTTGTATATGGATATCAGTTTAAAACATTTCTCTTTCCATTTACACTTTTTTCTTAATTCCTGTGCCCTTCAATGACTTCTCTGAGGCTTGGGGCCAAACTAGAGATAATCGAAAGGGACATCTTAAAACACATGTCAGCAAATCAGGGGGAATTTCTTCAATCATAACTCAGCCGGGACATGACCGTTTGAGTTTACATGTCGTCTTCATCATTATTATCCACTATAAGTGAGGAATTGTGGTTTTTGAAATATGAAAAATTGGACGAAAACTTTTCCTCAGAAATATCCTTAATTAAACCCGCTTAACTGTCATTCAAATGTTCAACACATTCAACATACAGTAACCTACTCCCGTCAAACCCTATAATAAATTAAATAGACTGATACTTGTTGAAATAATTACGCCTGAATTTTGTTCAGTTTAAACTAAGAATTCGTACAAAGTAAACTGTTTTCTCACCGAGGAATATCTGTTACTTTAACAGCAACTACAAAGTAAGGGGTCTTTTTATTTGATTTCAGTGCACACAGATGATGATTACATTCCTTGGAATAAGGTTTGTTAATCGGGCACCTGACAAATTTTAAAATTTGTTCCGTTAATGTAGTCGTCATGCGGAAAGTTCTTCTGACCACCTTTCATAGCTTTGACTCCCCATTCCAGATTCAATTTCTAGTTACAATTCCTCCGCATTTGTTTTTTTCTTCTTTCATGCTGTAGGGGCCAGCTACGCTTGGCAAAATAATTGCGACAAAACAATTTCTCTGCGTCCTGATTCCTTGTATTCTTGTACAGAATAATCACAACGAATGACAAATGGGGATCTATCCGGCGACGATTCGAAGTTATTGCTTCTTACACAGCCTAGAATCCTTCGCTAAAACTAACTCGACAAAAACGGCAAAAAAAACAAACAAAAAAAGCAAAAACAAAAGATAAAAAACAAAAAAAACCAAAAACCTGCAAGTAACGCTTAAGCAGCGCACATGGCATGGGAAACTGCGCCCTAGGTATATTATAAGCGGCGCTATAAAATGTATGTAAATGCAATTAATCATACACATGCTACTTTCTTATTCAACTTTCTTTTCGCTCTGCTTTGAACGATACAATCAGGCTTCACGACAAATGTTCCGTCAATGTTGTCGTCATATGGAAAGTTCTTCTGAGCACCTTTCATAGTTTCGACTCCCCATTCCGGATTCAATTGCTAGTTACAATTCCTCCGCATTTGTTGCATTCTTCTTTCATGCTGTAAGGGCCAGCTGCGCTTGGCAAAATAAATGCGACACAAAAACTTCTATGTGTCCTGATTCCTTGTATTCTTGTACAGGATAATCACAGCGAATGACCAATAAGGATCCATCCAGCGACGATTCGAAGCTACTGCTTCTTACATAGCCTAAAATCCTTCGCTGAAAAAAAAAAAAGCTGCAAGTAATGCTGAAGCAACGCTCACGGCATGGGGAACTGCACCACAAGTATATTATCAGCGGTGCTTTAAACTGTATCAGGTAAATGCAACGAATCATACACATGCTACTTTCTTGTTCAACTTTCTTTTCGTTCTGCTTTGAACGATACAATCAGGTTTCACGATGACATAATAGAGTGAACTTATCTTTGTAAGACGATTTACACCCGAGACAAAATTATCATAAAAAGTCCAGGAACTCTAAGATTTATTTCAAGTTACTACAAGTCTCCTGTTACTTCATTTAGAAGCTGTCACCAGTTCTTTTTCGCCAGTTATTTTGCAAAGTCAATGGTGGTGAATCTCCTGTAGGCTTGGGCTCCACCCTTTATATTCTGTTGTCAACGACTGATCCCCCTGTCTTTCCCCTTAGAACTACGTAACTCCCCAAACATCAATCAATTCCTTCCCCCCCTCCCCCCGACACATGTGATTGACATGAATGAAGCCTCGCGCGTGGAACTCACGTTGCCGCGAGAAGTGTCCCTTACATATGGGTTCTTCGCTTACCGAAGCAGCACCATCAACCCTCTTCATTTATAGTGCATTGAGTGAGCAACTGAGGAGAGAGTTCAAGGGCATTTTGAAGTGTTTTCGTTAATTAAAGGCCCAAGTAGGTAGCTATGGTAACGAAATGTGACGACGAACGTAGCTTGAAATCATGTCTTTTTACATTAGATCAATTTTTGCGTTGATATTGAGAGACGAAATGTCAAACGCGTCCAATTTTGCCGTATTTGATAATATTCAAGCGTCTTTTGAAAAGGAAAAAATTTTCATGAATGTTGCGTTTTTCAAAAATTTTAGGTAGTTATCAATGTTGAAGAAATTTCCAACCAGTGAAATTAAAGTTAGGATCTAGGCTGTTATTTCCTGCAAATGCGCCTTCATGTTCATAGGGCAGATTTTTACGAAGACGCTTAAACGTTTTTTTTCCAGAACTTTATGACTGCAAGCTGGTATTAGCTCTTTAAACAAAAACAGCTGTATTCCACAGATTTTTTTATGTGAATCATCAGCCAAGGTCAAACTTAATTTAGGAAGTAAAATGACTTTTTGGCTTCAATATTTAGAAAGAAGATGTTCAGACAACATCCCCACGGTTTTTAATTAACCTTCTAAATGTTTCAAGAAGAAACGTGAGGTGGTTCTAATTACAACTTTAATTTTTACTGACACTCTACTTCCGCGATCTTGTGTGCCCGTCAAAAGAAAATACTTCCCCTCTACTATGCCAAAAAACGAATTTTAACCAAAAGTTGCATTGTGGATTACAAAGTTTCCTTTGATATTCGTAATTCGTCTTCTTTTTTTCAGTAATTTTGTTTAAGGAAATGAAAGTTGTTGAAGCTCTCTATTGTATTTCTCACTTTTTTGGACGACGGAATCATCGGATAGCGTTTGTTTACTAACCAGGAACCTAAGGTAAATGCTGATGTTTAGAAACAAGAAATGGCTAAATAGAATGAACAGCCTTTCTTTCACTCAGAAAGGATAAACCAAACATCAAAAGCGACTCTCTAGCACTTATGTAAAGTTAAACAAGTGAGAACAATTAAAACAAACCTCTTTTAACTTCAACGACAAACAATACGTGGTAGTTCTCGCAGTAACATAAAATCGATCCGTTTTTTGCCTTACAACCTCCCACGGTAAATGACAACGACGTTGACATAATTACATAGTTCAATATTAAATATTGCTCAATATTTATTTACTGCAATGGGTATAAAGATAAGATTTATGAGAGAATGGCATCTGTTTTCATCCCAGCAGACAATATCACTCGCGCACCTTATAGGTTTTAGCGATTTATGATTCAAAAAGGTGTCAACGAAGACTTCACAACAGTATAGTTCTTTTTTTTATCTTTTCGCTAAGCTAATTGACCAAAAGCTGTGATGACAGGTAAACTTTCCCTTGAGCTTACCACAAGAGAGGAGGCGTTAGCTTGGACTGAAACAATTTTGTTTGCTGTTACCAATGTTGTGGCCATCCTTGGAAATCTCCTCATTCTTTGCGCCGTGTACCATAACCACAGTCTACGCACGATTCCCAACATATTCGTAATAGCACTGGCTGTGAGCGATATTCTGATGTCTACTATATGTATGCCTTTAACAGTTGCAAGTCTTTTCCACGGCAGGTGGATCTTTCATGAAACGGTCTGCCGCTTTCAAGCATTTGATATCTTTGCGTTTGGGAAGTGTAGTCTTGGAACTATGGCAGCAATTGCAGTCAGCCGATATTTCTGTGTTGTTAATCGGGAAAAGTATCCCTCGCTGTTTAAGAAGCAAAGAGCCTTGATGTATATTTTCATCGTTTGGTGTTTAGCTCTGGTTGGATCTGTGCCCATATTAGTCTTCAACAATGACAGCATTGAATTCCACCCTGGGAAAGCAATGTGTCTGTTCAAATTTGAAAGTAACATTGCTTACTCTGCCTCAATCCTTTGCTGTTTTATCACAACACCCTTGATTATCATCACGATCTGCTATGTCAAAGTGTTCCGCGCCGTGTCGAGATCAAATCGTGTTTTCTCATTGGAAAATAACCCGGAACTTCTTCGGGTGAATGTGGAAGAAGCCAAAGTGACCAAGCGTTTGGTAGCAGTTGTGGTCGGCTTTGCATGCTGTTGGCTTCCTGTTTTTGTCGTTGATAACATCGACATGGCACGTGGAGAACCCGCGCTACCACGACAAGTTTACTTAACTAACAGCCTCATAATTTAACTGAGTAGCACCATAAACCCATTCATATATTGCGCCGCAGATAAGAGGTTCAGACGAGAGTACAAGGTTGTTTTTGCCGAGACAACAGCGAGAACGGTAACGCTTAACTGAAATAGCCAGAGAAGTTGTGGTAGGAAATGGATTTTTCTGAGATTTTTTCCGAGGTTGTTGCTGGTAAAATCAGAAACAAAGGACTAACGACATTATTTGACACTCATCATCCGTCAAATGCGTTTATCTACCGAGACGTTTCGAAGTAGTAACTAATACCCTTTTGGTGTTTTCTCATTAGTAAATAATCCAGAACTCCTTCGGATGAAAGTGGAGGAAACCAAAGTGACGAAGCGTTTGGTTGCAGTTGTAGTCGGCTTTGCATGCTGTTGGCTTCCTATTTTCATCATCGACAACATCGACATGGCGCACAGAGAGCCCACACTACCACGACCAGCTTACTTAACATATAGCTTTTTGCTTTACTTGAGTAGCTCCATAAACCCCTTTATATATTGTGCCACAGATAAGAGGTTCAGACGAGAGTATAAGGCTGTTTTCTGGAAGATTTTTAGCTTCAAATGCCGAGCTAACAACGAAAACAACGACGCCTAACTGAAATGGTGCAAGATCTGGTGTAGTAGTAGTTTTTTTTCTCAGACTTTAACTGAGGTTTTCACTTGTAAAATTGGAAACATTTGAAGGTAGACTGGCTTGAATTACCGAAAAGAGTGACTAAATAAATACTTTGCACAAACCTGGAAGTCATTTGGAGGATCCCAAAGACAGGCACTCTTAGTGATTGCAGCATCTGGAGGGGAATTACCCTCTTATCAGTTCCAAGAAAAATCTTGGCGGAGATCATCATCAAGTGAATATCAAACACAGTGGACTATAAAGTTTTATTTGATTTCAGTGCACACAGCTCATGATTACATTCCCTGGAATAAGGTTTGTTAATCGGGCACCTGAGAAATGTTCCGTCAATGTTGTCGTCATACGGAAAGTTCTTCTGAGCACCTTTCATAGTTTCGACTCCCCATTCCGGATTCAATTGCTAGTTACAATTCCCCCGCATTTGTTTCATTCTTCTTTCACGCTGTAAGGGCCAGCTGCGCTTGGCAAAATAAATGCGACACAAAAACTTCTATGTGTCCTGATTCCTTGTATTCTTGTACAGGATAATCACAGCGAATGACCAATAAGGATCCATCCAGCGACGATTCGAAGCTACTGCTTCTTACATAGCCTAAAATTCTTCGCTGAAACTAACTCGGCAAAAACGGCAAAAAAAAAAGCTGCAAGTAATGCTGAAGCAACGCTCACGGCATGGGGAACTGCGCCACAAGTATATTATCAGCGGCGCTTTAAACTGTATCAGGTAAATGTAACGAATCATACACATGCTACTTTCTTGTTCAACTTTCTTTTCGTTCTGCTTTGAACGATACAATCAGGTTTCACGATGACATAATAGAGTGAACTTATCTTTGTAAGACGATTTACACCCGAGACAAAATTATCATAAAAAGTCCAGGAACTCTAAGATTTATTTCAAGTTACTACAAGTCTCCTGTTACCTCATTTAGAAGCTGTCACCAGTTCTTTTTCGCCAGTTATTTTGCAAAGTCAATGGTGGTGAATCTCCTGTAGGCTTGGGCTCCACCCTTTATATTCTGTTGTCAACGACTGATCCCCCCTGTCTTTCCCCTGAGAACTACGTAACTCCCCAAACATCAACCAATTCCTTCCCCCCCTCCCCCCGACACATGTGATTGACATGAATGAAGCCTCGCGCGTGGAACTCACGTTGCCGCGAGAAGTGTCCCTTACATATGGGTTCTTCGCTTACCGAAGCAGCACCATCAACCCTCTTCATTTATAGTGCATTGAGTGAGCAACTGAGGAGAGAGTTCAAGGGCATTTTGAAGTGTTTTCGTTAATTAAAGGCCCAAGTAGGTAGCTATGGTAACGAAATGTGACGACAAACGTAGCTTGAAATCATGTTTTTCCACATTAAATTAATTTTTGCGTTGGTATTGAGAGACGAAATGTCAAACGCGTCCAATTTTGCCGTTATTTGATAATATTCAAGCGCTTTAGCTGGTATAGGGCAGAGTTTTACGAAGACGCTTAAAAATTTTTTATCTAGAACTTTATTACTGCAAGCTGGTATTAGCTCTTTAAACAAAAACAGCTGTATTCCACAGTTTTTTTTTAATGTGTATCATCAGCGAGAGACCATCTCTGTCCTCTCCAAGGTAAAACAGTTTCTTTTTATGCATTTTTTAAAATTGTTGCGACATGAGTTGATTTAGTTGAATTCAAACGATATAAATACTGTTAAGCAATGTGCTAAAGCGACGATTTTCATATCTTCGGCCAACCTTGTTAAAACTTGTTGGTTTCCACCGCAACACGAGAAGGAATTATGTCAACTTAAGGTTAATTTAGGACGTAAAATGACTTTTTGGCTTCAATATTTAGAAAGAAGATGTTCAGACAACATCCCCACGGTTTTTAATTAACGTTCCAAATGTTTCAAGCAGAAACTTGAGGTGGTTCAAACAACTTCAAATTTTACTGACACTCTACTTCCGCGATCTTATATGCTTATCAAAAGAAAATACTTCCCCTCTACTATGCCGAAAAAAAAATTTTTACCAAAAGTTGTAATATGGATCACAAAATTTCCTTTGATTTTCGCAATTCTTCTTTTTTTCAGTAATTTTGTTTGAGGAAATAAAATTGTTGAAGCTTTCTAAAGTATTTTCTCATTTTTGTGAACGACGAAATCGTCGGATAACGTTTGTTTACTAACAGGAACCTGTAAATGCTGATGTGTACGAACAAGAAATGGCTAAACAGAATGAATAGCTTTTCTTTCACTCAAAAGGGATAAACCAAATATTAAAAGCAACTCATTAGCACTTATATAAAAGTTAAACAAGTGAGAACAATTAAAACAAACCTCTTTTAACATCAACGATAAAAAATACGTGGATGTTCCCGAAGTAATAAAAAATCGATCTTTTTTTGCCTTACAACTTCCAACGGTAAATGAAAACGACGTTGACATAATTACATAGTTCAATATTAAATATTGCTCAATATTTATTTACTGCAATGGGTATAAAGATAAGATTTATGAGAGAATGACATCTGTTTTCATCCCAGCAGACAAAATCTCTCGCGCACCGAAGGTTTTTAGCGATTAATGATTCAAAAAGTCGTCAACGAAGACTTCGCAACGGTATAGTTTTTTTTTTATCTTTTCGCTGAACTTATCGACCAAAGGAGATGAGGAGAAACACACTTTCCCTTGAGCTCGCCACGAGGACGGAGGCGTTAGTTTGTACTGAAACAGTTTTGTTTGCTGTTACCAATGTTGTGGCCACCCTCGGAAATCTTCTCACTTTTTATGCTGTGTACAGAAACCACAGGCTGCGCACGATTCCCAACATGTTCCTGATAGCTCTGGCTCTAAGTGATATTCTGATGTCTACTATCTGTATACCATTTACAGTTGCAAGTCTTTTCCACGGCAGGTGGATCTTTGGTGACACAGTCTGTCGCTGGCAAGCATTTGATATCTTTACATTTGGGACGAGTAGTCTTGGAACTATGGCAGCAATTGCAGTCAGCCGATATTTCTGTGTTGTTAATCAGGAAAAGTATCCCTCCCTGTTTAAGAAGCAAAGATCCGTGATGTACATTTTCATCGTTTGGTGCTTGGCTCTGGTTGGATCTGTGCCCATATTAGTCTTCAAAAATAACAGCGTTGAATTCCAGCCCGGAAATCTGAGATTTTAACTGAAGTTGTTACTGGTAAAATTGGAAACATTTGAAGGTCTTTACACAAACCCATGTTGATTTGTAGACTAGCTTGAGTTACCGAAAAGAGTGATTAAATAAATACTTTGCACAAACCTTGAAGTCATTAGGAGGATCCCTAAGACAGGCACTCTTAGTGATTGCAGCATCTGGCGGGGAATTACCCTCTTATCATTTCCAAGAAAAATCTTGGCTAAGATCATCATCAAGTGGATATTAAACACAGTGGACCAAGAGCTCGGGAAGGAACAAGTAAGGTTCAGGGAAGGAAAGAAATGTGGCGAACTGATCTTTTCTTTCAAAATATCATCAGGTAACGCACAGAGTGGAAAAGACAGCTGTGCATTAACTTTTACAAAGCAGTTGACAGCATCCATAGAGATAGTCTCTTTTTTATTTGAAAGAGGAATTTTGTTCTCGAGCAAAACTGTTATTTATGTAAAAGTGAATTTTTGTTTGTATATGGATATCAGTTTAAGACATTTCTCTGTTCATTTACACTTTTCTTATTGAGGTTAATTTCATGTGCCCTCCAATGACTTCTCTGAAGCTCGGGGCCAAACTAGAGATAATCGAAAGGAACATCTTAAAACAGAGGTCCGCAAATTTGAGTAAATTTCTTCAATCATAACTCAGCTGGGACATGACTGTTTGAGTTTTGATGTCGTCTTCGCCATTATTATCCACTGTAAGTGAGAAATTGTTGCTTTGAACTATGTAAAATTGGAAGTGAACTTTTTCTCAGAAATATCCTAAATTAAACCTACTTAACTGTCATTCAAATGCTCAACACACTCAACATACAGTAACCTACTCCCGTCAAACCCTATAATTAATTAAATAGGCTGATACTTGTTCAAATAATTACGCCAAAATTTTGTTCAGTTTAAACTAAGAATTCGTACAAAGTGAACTGTTTTCTTTTCTAGGAATATCTGTTATTTTAACAGCAAACATATTGTAAGGGGTCTTTTTATTTGATTTCAGTGCACACAGCTCATAACTACATTCCTTGGAGTTGGGCTTGTTAATCGGGCACCTGACAAATTTTAAAATTTGCCAAAGCCAAAGTAACGAAGCGTTTGGTTGCAGTTGTAGTCGGCTTTGCATGCTGTTGGCTTCCTATTTTCATCGTCGACAATATCGACATGGCGCATGGAGAGCCCACGCTACCACGACCAGCTTACTTAACATACGGCTTTTTGGTTTATTTGAGTAGCACGATAAACCCCTTCATGTATTGTGCCACAGATAAGAGGTTCAGACGAGAGTATAAGGTTGTTTTCTGGAAGATTTTTGGCTTCAAATTCCGAGCTAACAACGAAAACAACGACGCTGAACTGAAATGGCACAAGACCTGATGTAGTATGGAGATTTTGTCCGAGGTTGTTACCGGTAAAATTGGAACATCTGGGTGTCTTTACACGAAACCATGTTGCCTTGTAGACTGGCTTGAATTACCGAAAAGATTGAGAAAAATAAATACTTTACACAAACCTGGAAGTAATGTTGAGGATCCCAAAGTCAGGCACCTTTAGTGGTTGCAGCATCTAGCGGAGAATTACCCTCTTATCAGTTCCAAGAAAAATCTTGGCTGAGATCATCATCGAGTGGATATAAAACACGGTGGACCAAGCGTTCGTGAAGGAACAAGTAAGGTTCAGGAAAGAAAAGGGTTGCACCGACCAGATCTTTACTTTTCAAACATCATCAGGTAACGCACAGAGTGGCAGTTGACAGCATCCTCAGAGATAGTCTCTTGTACTGGATCCTGCAGCAAATATTTCATCATTGTCATCATCATCATCATTTTATTAGTCACTTCACATATAACATTTATACAGCTTAACAGTATGGTAGGGCGAGGAGACCTCCAAGAAACCACCAGGCTTATAGGGGAGGCCACCTCGGTTGTCATTACGTTTGAAATTGAGATGTGGATGTGGATGTGCGGCTTGGCCAATTCGGACTCATTTCATTAAGAAATCAATCATCTTTCTTTTAAAAGTAAAAAAGCTAGTCAAACCAGTGATCGATATTGGGAGAGAATGCCAAGTTTAAGGAGTTAGAGTATTGTAAATTGTAGAGTATTGTAAATTGTTTAAGATTAGTACGACAGAAGATCAGGAAGATCAGCCAAAACAAGACGGAATTTATGATTCCGAATGTCCCAAACCCCCAGCTGATTAGAAATGGAATTCACGTACCTGGGCAATACAGTCAGACATGATGAAGGAACAAGCAAGGACATCAAGAACCGCTTAGTGAAAGTCATCAATGTAGTCAGCATGCTCAACAATGTATAGAGGTCCCAGCAGTAGAGCACCAAGATCAGGCAAAAACTATATCATAGCTGTGTCGCATCCACCCTAATATGTGGCTCTGAATGCTAGAGAATGACAGAAGGCGATCCATGCAGATGGTCAGTCTTCCACAGTCTTCTTAAATTTTGTGTTAGATACAGTTCCCTTTGGTTTGCACGCTGGACTCAACAATGTCTGGTCGTTAAAAAAAAGCGAAAAGCTAGAAATTTGGCTCACATTTGATCATCGTATTTACGCGGTTGTTAATGAAAAAAAAACTTATGAATTTTTTCTTTTGTCCAAACTAAAAGTCAAGATGGCGTCAATTCTTTATTTCAGGAGGCGATTTCAGTGATATTGAAGAGTTTGCCGACTCGTATAATTGATTTCCAAACCTTTATCAGGGAGATATTTTTAAATAAAACTTTAATTTTCTTCTTGAACCGCTAGAACAGTTTTTTCGATGAGTCAGTGTTGTCTAAAAGATAACATCTCTGTTTACTCGCAGCTTTACAATTTTCATTTTAAGACATTCCACAAAGAATTACGATTGAATTTCATGAGTTTAGGTAAACGACTAATTTACTGTTTATTACGTTGTTATATTACAGTTTCTAAGTTTCTAAGCCGACGATTTTTCTAACTTCTTCTTTCGTTCTAGATACGTGAATAAATGTAAGAAGGCTGTAAACTTATGGCTAATTTAGAGCTTAGATTGACTTTTCCGCTTCGTTATTTGATAACAAGATGTTCTTACAATATCATCTCGGTCTTAGAACAAAGGTTTTTAATTTAAGCAGAAATTTAATTTAGAGTGGCTTAAATTATAATTTCAAATTTGACCGTCACTTAACCTTCGCGATCTTATATGCCCATCCAAAAAAAAATTAGTTCCCCCATACGATGCCGAAAATTGTTAATAACAGACTGGACTTCAATTTTTTTTTCTGAGAGAGGGTTTTAGTTTTTTCCAGCTATTTTTACTGCAGAAATGAGAGTTGTTCAAACTCTTTAAGATATCTTATCCCTTTCGTGAGCGGCGTAATTATATGTTTGTTTATTAACCTGCTGTGTGAAGAAATTGTTTAGACAAGATACGGAGAAATAGAAACAACATCTTTTCTTTCACTCTAAAGAGATATGTCGATATATTAAAAGCGATTCAACAACACTTATCCGGAGGTAAATTACATAGTTCAATTATAATAAACCTCTTTCAGCAACAACGACATACCGCACGAGCTCTCGCCGAACAGAAACAGTTGTCATTTGGCCCTACAACTTCCAACTTGATGAGAATGATAACAACGATGACATAAAGACATTTTTTAATATTCATTAATTGCAATGTGTTTACAGATAGGATGTGATGGAAAATAACATTTGTTTTTCGGTGTTGGTAGACAGTGTTGGTAATCGCGCACACCAGCGGGTTTCGCCGATCACTGCTTCAAAAAGTCGACAACAAAGACTGTGCAGAAGTGTAACTGAATTAATAATCTTTTCGCCGAGCTAGAGGTTATTGACCAAAAGCAGTGATGACAAGTAAACTCTCCCTTGAGCTTGCCACAAGAGAGGAGGTGTTAGTGTGGACTGAAACAGTTCTGTTTGCTTTTACCAATGTTGTGGCTGTCTACGGAAATCTTCTCACTTTTTACGCCGTGTACAGAAACCACATGCTGCGAACAGTTACCAACATGTTCGTAATAGCTCTGGCTATCAGCGATATTCTGATGTGTACCTGCTGTATGCCTTTTACAGTTGTCGCTCTGTTCCATGGCCAGTGGATATTTGGCAAATCTTACTGTCTCTTTCAAGGTTTTGCCGTGCTGACTCTCGCGATGGTCTCCATAGTTACCATGGGTGTCATTGCCGTCAACCGATTCTTCTGCGTTGTAAAACCAGAAAAGTATCTCTTTGTGTTTAAGAAGCAGAGAGCGTTGATATACATTGTCATTGTGTGGTGCCTGGCTTTCGCTGGATCTGCGCTCCCGTTTTCCTTTGAGGGCAAAAATAGCTTTAAATTCCAGCCTGGAAAAACAATGTGTTCGTACACGTTTGAAAGAAATATGGCTTACACTGTTACAATCGCATGTCTTTACATCGCTGCGCCCTTAACAATCATAGTGGTCTGCTATGTCAAAGTGTTCCGCTCAGTTTCAAGATTAAATCGTGTTTTCTGTCCAGGCGTTAATCCCAGTCAACTCCGCGCGAATGTGGAAGAAGCAAAAGTAACGAAAACTTTAGTAGTAGTTCTGTTTGGCTTCGCGTGCTGCTGGCTTCCTATCTTCGTTATGGATATCTTGGACGCCGTGCGCGGAGAACTGGCGATACCACGACAGGTTTACCTGACGAACGGGTTCTTGATCTATCTGAGTAGCACTATCAACCCAGTCATTTATGGTATCATGAATAGACAGTTCAGGCGAGAGTACAAGGCCCTCTTGTGCAAGATTACTTGCTTTCGACGCCAAAATGGCAACAACAACGGCAGCCACAACGCTGAAAATGATGCATGAATTATTTTCACCATTCTCAGCAAACAGCAAATATTTCTGTCTGATTACACGGAAATGACGCTTACATTTTCCTATAAGAGCGCAAGTCGGGCTGTTGTCAACCCATCTCATTCGAGAGCTGTGCTATAGTTTTGAACAGTGATGGTAATAGGACGAAGTGGAGTCCAATTCGATCTGTAATTAAACAAGTGATTAGCAAAATCGGACGACTACGAAGCAGGAGTGGGATTTGTCACGAGTATGATTACATACAGTATTGGACAACACAAAGTCTTGTTACCAATTAACCATAACCGTTACAGTTTCTGGAAACAACAAATATATTTAGGACAAGTATCTCCCGTAGAAACAATGGAACAAAATTCCTCAATTTTAAAAATTCCACATTTCTTTTACGATAAGTGGTTGTTGCTGTTTTCATTGTGATCAATTCTGTGATTGGTGGATTTAGCTGAGTGGACTTAGTATGACTGGTTGCTTCAACTGTCTGATTACAGCCAACTGTTTGATTACACTATCCGATTACAACTTTACAGAATGATTAGCGAAAAATAAAGCAGCTAATGTACCATTCGTTTTGGCTTCAAATGCCGAGCCAACAACGAAAAGAACGACGCTTAACTGAAATGACACAAGACCTGGTGTAGTATGATAGTTTCTTTCACAGATTTTGTTGGAGGTTGTTACTGGTAAAATTGGAACATCTGAGTTTCTTTCCACGAACCTTTGTTGATTTGTAGACTGGCTTGAATTACCGAAAAGAGTGACAAAATAAATACTTTGCACAAACCTGGAAGTCATTGGGAGGATCCCAAAGTCAGGCACCCTTAGTGGTTGCAGCATCTGGCGGGGAATTACCCTCTTATCAGTTGCAAGAAAAATCTTGGCTGAGATCATCATCAAGTGGATATCAAACACAGTGGACCAAGAGTTCCGGAAGGAACAAGTAAGGTTCAGGAACCGGAAGGGATGTACCGATCAGATCTTTTACTCTTCACAACATTATCAGACAACGCATAGAGTGGAAAAGACAGCTGTGCGTTAACTTTTACAAAGCAGTTGACAGCATCCACAGAGATAGTCTCTTGTGCGGGATTCTGCTGCAAATATTTCATCATCTTCATCATCATAGTTTTTTTTACTAGTCACATGAGATATAACATTTAGATAGGTTTAATACAGGTGTAACAATATGGTAGGTCGAGGAGACCTCCAAGAAACCACCAAACTAATAGGGGAGGCCCCCTCGGTTGTCATTATGTTTGTAATTAAGTTGTGGATGTGGATGTGCGGCTTGGCCAATTGGGACTCGTTTCATTAAGAAATCAATCATCTTTCTTTTAAAAGTAAAAAGCTAGTCAAACCAGTGATCGATATGATTGGGAGAGAATGCCAAATTTTAGGACCCTGGTATTGCTAATTGTTTAAGATTAGTACGACAGTTATGTGGTCGATAGCAATTGGCTATTCTTGTATCATTACTGTGTTCTTACCTATTTGTTCTCATTAAGAGCGTTTACGACAACATCACGAGCAGAGGTAGCGGAGGTTGGGTGCTGTAGCGAACAACCGAAGACCAGACCAGAGGCATCCGATAGACATTATTCTCTGCATACGAGGACCTCGACTTTGCTGATGACCAGGCGCTGCTATATCTCACACTCATCACCATAAGTAAGAGAAATCCCGTCTCTGTGACCTTGATAAACAGATTTGCCTGAAGATCAGCTAAAACAAGACGGAGGTTATGATTCCGACATGATGAAAGAGCAAACAAGGACATCGAGAACCGCTTAGTTAAAGCCATCAACGTAGTCAGAATGCTCAACTATGTATGGAGGTCCCAGCAGTAGAGCACCAAGTTCAGGCTAAAACTATATCCTAGCTGTGCCCTATCCACCCAAATATGTGGCTCCGAATGCTTGAGAATGACAGAAGGCGATCCTTACAGATGGTCAGTCTTCCACAGTCTCCTTAAATTTTGTGTTAGACACAGCGCCCTTTGGTTTGCGCGCTGGACTCAACAATGTCTGGTCGTTAAAAAATGCGAAAAGCTGTAAATTTGGCTCACATTTGATCATCGTATTCACGGGGTTGTTATTAAAAAAACTTTCAAATTTTTTTCTTTTATCCAAACTAAAAGTGAAGATGGCGTCAATTCTTTGTTTCAGGAAGCGATTTTAGTGATATTAAAATGTTTGCCGACTCGTAAAATTGGTTTCCAAATCTTTATCAAGGAGATATTTTGCAAATAAAACTTTAATTTTCTTCTAGAACCGCTAGAACAGCTTTTTTGATGAGTGTTGTCTACAAGATATCCATGTTTACCCGCAGCTTTACAATTTTCATTTTAAGACATTTGACAAAGAATTATGATTGAATTTCAATGAATTTAAATTCTGTTTCGTACGTTGTTACATTACAGTTTAAGAAGTTTCTAAGCCGACTATTTTTCTAGCTTCTTTCGTTTTGGATACGCGAATAAATGTAAGAAGTCTGTAAACTTATGGTTAATTTAGAGCTTAGATTGACTTTTCCGCTCCCTTATTTGATAACAAGATGTTCTTAAAATATCCTCTCGGTTTTAGAACAAAGATTTTAAAATTAAGCAGAAAGTTTAGGTGGTTTGAATTAAAATTTCGAATTTGACTGTCACTTAACCTCCGCGATCTTATATGGCCATCAAAAAAATTAGTTCCCCCATACTATGCCGAAAATTGCTAATAACAGACTGGATTTCAATTTCTTTTTTTTCTGAGAGAGTTTTATTTTTTTCCAGCTATTTTATGTCGCAGAAAAAGAGAGTTGTTCAAACTTTTCAAGATATCTTATCCCTTTCGTGCGCGACGGAATAATATGTTTGTTTATTAACCAGCTGTGTGAAGAGATTGTATAGATAAGATACGGAAAAGTAGAAGCAACATCTTTTCTTTCACTCGAAAGAGATATGTCGATTATTAAAAGCGATTCAACAACACTTATCCGGAGGTAAATAACTGAGTACAACTAAAAGAAACCTCTTTCAGATACAGCGACGTACTGCACGAGCTCGCGCCGAACAGAAACATAAAATGGAGTTGTTATTTGGTCCTACAACTTCCAACTTGATGAGAATGATAACAACGACGACATACAGACATCTTTTAATATTCATTAATTGCAATGTGTTTAAAGATAGGATGTGATGGAAAATAACATTTGTTTTTCGGTGTTGGTAGACAGTGTTGGTAATCGTGCACACCAGCGGGTTTCGCCGATCACTGCTTCAAAAAGTCGACATCAAAGACTGTGCAAAAGTGTAAGTTACTTATCTTTTCGCTGAGCTTATTGACCAAAAGCAGCGATGACAAGTAAACTCTCCCTTGAGCTTGCCACAAGAGAGGAGGCGTTAGTGTGGACTGAAACAGTTCTGTTTGCTTTTACCAATGTTGTGGCTGTCTTCGGAAATCTTCTCACTTTTTACGCCGTGTACAGAAACCACAGGCTGCGAACAATTCCCAACATGTTCGTGATAGCTCTGGCTGTGAGCGATATTCTGATGTGTACCTGCTGTATGCCTTTTACAGTTGTCGCTCTGTTCCATGGCCGGTGGATATTTGGCGAATCTTACTGTCTCTTTCAAGGTTTTGCCGTGCTGACTTTCGGAATTGTCGCCATGGTTACCATGGGTGTTATTGCGGTCAACCGATTCTTCTGCGTTGTAAAACCAGACAAGTATCTCTTGTTGTTTAAGAAGCAAAGAGCGTTGATATACATTGTCATTGTGTGGTACCTGGCTTTCGCCGGATCTGTGCCCCCGTTTATCTTTGAGGGCAAAAATAGCTTTAAATTCCAGCCTGGAAAAGCAATGTGTTTGTACACGTTTGAAAGCAACATGGCTTACACTGTTACAATCGAATGTGTTTACATCGCAGCACCCTTAACAACCATAGGGGTCTGCTATGTCAAAGTGTTCCGCTCAGTTTCAAGATCAAATCGTGTTTTCTGTCCAGGCGTTAACCCCAGTGAACTGCGCGCAAATGTGGAAGAAGCAAAAGTGACGAAAACTTTAGTAGCAGTTCTGCTTGGCTTCGCGTGTTGCTGGCTTCCTATCTCCGTCGTGGATAACGTGGACGCCGCGCGCGGAGAACCCGCGATACCACGACAGGTTTACCTGACGTACGCGTTCTTGATCTATCTGAGTAGCGCTATCAACCCATTCATTTACGGTATCATGAACAGACAGTTCAGGCGAGAGTTCAAAGCCCTTTGCGCAAGATTACTTTCTTTCGGCGCCAAAATGGAAATAACAACAGCAGCCAGAACGTTGAAAGTCATCCATAAATTATTGTCACTATCCTCAGTCTTGGCCTTTTAATCTTTTGTTTTAATTTTTTTTCTTTCAAAAATCGATGTAGGTAAAGAAAAAAATATGAAAATGAACTATTTTTGCGACATTGTCTTTCCTAGTAGCAAATCCTTTCAGAAACAAAAACATCAGATCAAAAAAGACGCTTTGACGACAATTTTTTGTGTGTAACAAAGTAAGACAGAGGGATTATTGCTTTTCTTTTTGAGAGTGGATTCTCTCTTAGAGTATTTTCAACAATAAAACTAAACGATAAATTTAATTATTTGTAGCTTCATTTCAAAATGTTTATTCTTTTTCTGTTTTCTTTTTTTTCTCTTTTTGATTCCCCCTCTTGTCATTCATAATTATTCAAAAATTCATATCATTACAATATTATTGAGTAGAAGAGAGTAGTTATCAAAGTCAATAACAAAGAAATATGAAAACAGCGGGGCAGCGGTGTGTTATGGGAATTTACTGATTGTGCACAAACATCAAATATCGAGCGCACAATGTGACTGAATAAATTAAGGGAACGTTTCTATTGCTCAGTGAGTTAAGTCTACGTAGATTAGTATTAAATGTTGTATGTTATGGAGGTTGAAAAACCTAACTTAAGATGCAACTAGACAATCTGTCACATTTTATTGCCATTATCCTAGTACTAGAGTTATGTGGTCGATAGCAGTTGGTTTTCTTGTATCGTAACTGTGTACTTGTCTATTTCTTCTCAATAAGAGCGTTTACGACAACTTCACGAGCAGAGGCAAGAACACTCAGCTTTAGGATGACAATTGGAGTGAGGTAAGGGTGTGTGATGTCAGTACTCTTCAACATTGCGATTGTTTGGGTGCTGCAGCGAACAACAGAAGATCAGACCAGAGGCATCCGATAGACATTATTCTCTGCATACGAGGACCTCGACTTTGCTGATGACCAGGCGCTGCTATATCTCACACCTATCATCATAAGCAAAAGAAAACATCCCGTCTCTGTGGCCTTGTAAAACAGATTTGCCCGTAGATCGGCTAAAACAAGACGGAAGTTATGATTCTGAATGTCCCAAACCCCCAGCTGATCAGAGCAAACAGAGAGGATCTTCCAACGACGGGGGAATTCACGTACCAGGGCAACACAGTCAGACATGATGGAAGAGCAAACAAGGACATCAAGAACCGCTTAGTGAACGCCATTAATGTAGTCAGAATGCTCAACTATGTATGGAGGTCCCAGCAGCAGAGCACCAAGACCAGGCTAAAACTATATCATAGCTGTGTCCTATCCATCCTGATATATGGCTCTGAATGCTGGAGAATGTCAGAAGGCGATCTTGCAGATTGTCAGTCTTTCACAGTCTTCTTAAATTTTGTGTGAGACATTTGATCATCATATTCACGTGGTTGTCATTGAAAAAAAAGCTTATAATGTTTTTCTTTTATCAAAACTAAAAGTCAAGATGGTGTCAATTCTTTGTTTCAGGAAGTGATTTCAATGATATTGAAGAGTTTGCCGAGTCATATAATTGGTTTCCAACCTTTATCAGGGCGTGTTTTTCCAAATAAAACTTTAATTTTCTTTGTAGAATCGCCAAAGCAATATTTTTGATGAGTGTTGTCTACAAGATAACATCTCTGTTTACACAACTTAATTACCGTCTAGAACGTTGTAATATTACAGTTAAGGAAGTTTCTAGGCCGACAATTTTTCTAACTTCTTCTTTCGTTCTGGATACGCAAATAAATGTAAAAAGGCTGTAAACCAATGCTTAATTTAGAACTTAGATTGACTTTTCCGCTTCTTTATTCGACAACAATTGATTCTTCCAATACTTTCGGTTTAAGAATAAAGGTTTTTAATTCAAGCATAAATTTAAGGTGGTTTAAATTAAAATTTCAAATTTGACTGTCATTTAACTTCTGCGATCTTTTATGGCCATCAAAAAAAAAATTAGTTCCCCTATACAATGCCGAAAATTATTTATAACAAACTGGATCTCAATTTCTTTCTGAGAGAGTTTTAATTGTTTTTTTCAGCTATTTTTTATGGCAGACATGAGAGTTGTTCAAACTCTTCAAGATATCTTATCCCTTTCGTGGGTGGCGGAATAATATGTTTGTTGATTAACCAGCTGTGTGAAGAAATTGTTTAGACAAGATACGGAAAAATAGAACATCTTTTCTTTCACTCGAAAGATATATGTCGATTATTAAAAGCGACCTAAAAACACTTATCCGCAGGTAAATAACTGAGTGCAATTAGAACAAACCTCTTTCAGCAACAACGGCATACTGGACGAGCTCTCGCCGAACAGAAAAACAAAATGGAGTTGTTATTTGGCCCTACAACTTCCAACTTGATGAGAACGATAACAACGATGACATACAGACATCTCTAATATCTAAATATCCATTAATTGCAATGTGTTTAAAGATAGGATGCGATGGAAAATAACATTTGTTTTCCGGTGTTGGTAATCGCGCACACCAGCGGGTTTCGCCAATCAGTGCTTCAAAAAGACCGTGCAGAAGTGTAAGTTACTTATCTTTTTGCTGAGCTTATTGACCGAAAGCAGCGATGACAAGTAAACTCTCCCTTGAACTTGCCACAAGAGAGGAGGCGTTAACAATATCCTCTCGGTTTAAGAATAAAGGTTTTTAATTCAAGCATAAATTTAAGGTGGTTTAAATTAAAATTTCAAATTTGACTGTCATTTAAATTCTGCGATCTTTTATGGCCATCAAAAAAAAAAAATTAGTTCCCCTATACAATGCCGAAAATTATTTATAACAAACTGGATCTGCTCCCATATTACTATTCAAAAATGACAGCGTTGGATTCCAGCCTGGAAAAGCAATGTGTCTGTTCAAATTTGAAAGTAACATAGTTTACTCTGCCTCAATCCTTTGCTGTTTTATCACAACACCCTTGATTATCATCACGATCTGCTATGTCAAAGTGTTCCGCGCCGTGTCGAGATCAAATCGTGTTTTCTCATTGGAAAATAACCCGGAACTTCTTCGGGTGAATGTGGAAGAAGCCAAAGTGACGAAGCGTTTGGTAGCAGTTGTGGTCGGCTTTGCATGCTGTTGGCTTCCTGTTTTTGTCGTTGATAACATCGACATGGCACGTGGAGAACCCACGCTACCACGACAAGTTTACTTAACTGACAGCCTCATAATTTATCTGAGTAGCACCATAAACCCATTCATATATTGTGCCGCAGATAAGAGGTTCAGACGAGAGTACAAGGTTGTTTTGAGGAAGATTTTTACCTTTAAATGCCGAGACAACAGCGAGAACGGTAACGCCTAACTGAAATAGCCAGAGAAGTTGTGGTAGGAAATGGATTTTTCTGAGATTTTGTCCGAGGTTGTTGCTGGTAAAATCAGAAACAAAGGACTAACGACATTATTTGACACTCATCATCCGTCAAATGCGTTTATCTACCGAGACGTTTCGAAGTAGTAACTAATACCCTTTTGGTGGTTTCTCATTAGTAAATAATCCAGAACTCCTTCGGATGAAAGTGGAGGAAACCAAAGTGACAAAGCGTTTGGTTGCAGTTGTAGTTGGTTTTGCATGCTGTTGGCTTCCTATTTTCATCATCGACAACATCGACATGGCGCACAGAGAGCCCACACTGCCACGACCAGCTTACTTAACATATGGCTTTTTGCTTTACTTGAGTAGCTCCATAAATCCCTTTATATATTGTGCCACAGATAAGAGGTTCAGACGAGAGTATAAGGCTGTTTTCTGGAAGATTTTTAGCTTCAAATGCCGAGCTAACAACGAAAACAACGACGCCTAACTGAAATGGTGTAAGACCTGGTGTAGTAGTAGTTTTTTCTGAGACTTTAACTGAGGTTTTCACTTGTAAAATTGGAAACATTTGAAGGTAGACTGGCTTGAATTACCGGAAAGAGTGACAAAATAAATACTTTGCACGAACCTGGAAGTCATTTGGAGGATCCCAAAGACAGGCTCTCTTAGTGATTGCAGCATCTGGAGGGGAATTACCCTCTTATCAGTTCCAAGAAAAATCTTGGCGAAGATCATCATCAAGTGAATATCAAATACAGTGGACTATAAAGTTTTATTTGATTTCAGTGCACACAGCTCATGATTATATTCCCTGGAATAAGGTTTGTTAATCGGGCACCTGAGAAATGTTCCGTCAATGTTGTCGTCATATGGAAAGTTCTTCTGAGCACCTTGCATAGTTTCGACTCCCCATTCCGGATTCAATTACTAGTTACAATTCCTCCGCATTTGTTGTATTCTTCTTTCACGCTGTAAGGGCCAGCTGCGCTTGGCAAAATAAATGCGACACAAAAACTTTTATGTGTCCTGATTCCTTGTATTCTTGTACAGGATAATCACAGCGAATGACCAATAAGGATCCATCCAGCGACGATTCGAAGCTATAGCTTCTTACATAGCCTAAAATCCTTCTCTGAAACTAACTCGGCAAAAACGGCAAAAACGGCAAAAACGGCAAAAAAAAAAAGCTGCAAGTAATGCTGAAGCAACGCCCACGGCATGGGGAACTGCGCCACAAGTATATTATCAGCGGCGCTTTAAACTGTATCAGGTAAATGCAACGAATCATACACATGCTACTTTCTTGTTCAACTTTCTTTTCGTTCTGCTTTGAACGATACAATCAGGTTTCACGATGACATAATAGAGTGAACTTATCTTTGTAAGACGATTTACACCCGAGACAAAATTATCATAAAAAGTCCAGGAACTCTAAGATTTATTTCAAGTTACTACAAGTCTCCTGTTACCTCATTTAGAAGCTGTCACCAGTTCTTTTTCGCCAGTTGTTTTGCAAAGTCAATGGTGGTGAATCTCCTGTAGGCTTGGGCTCCACCCTTTATATTCTGTTGTCAACGACTGATCCACCCTGTCTTTCCCCTGAGAACTACGTAACACCCCAAACATCAACCAATTCCTTCCCCCCTCCCCCCGACACATGTGATTGACATGAATGAAGCCGCGCGCGTGGAACTCACGTTGCCGCGAGAAGTGTCCCTTACATATGGGTTCTTCGCTTACCGAAGCAGCACCATCAACCCTCTTCATTTATAGTGCATTGAGTGAGCAACTGAGGAGAGAGTTCAAGGGCATTTTGAAATGTTTTCGTTAGTTAAAGGCCCAAATAGGTAGCTATGGTAACGAAATGTGACGACAAACGTAGCTTGAAATCATGTTTTTTTCACATTAAATTAATTTTTGCGTTGGTATTGAGAGACGAAATGTCAAACGCGTCCAATTTTGCCGTTATTTGATAATATTCAAGCGCTTTAGCTGGTATATGGCAGATTTTTGCGAAGACGCTTAAAAGTTTTTTTCTTGAACTTTATTACTGCAAGCTGGTATTAGCTCTTTAAACAAAAACAGCTGTATTCCACAGTTTTTTTTTATGTGTATCATCAGCGAGAGACCATCTCTGTCCTCTCCAAGGTAAAACAGTTTCTTTTTATGCATTTTTTAAAATTGTTGCGACATGAGTTGATTTAGTTGAATTCAAACGATATAAATACTGTTAAGCAATGTGCTAAAGCGACGATTTTCATATCTTCGGCCAACCCTGTTAAAACTTGTTGGTTTCCACCGCAACACGAGAAAGAATTATGTCAACTTAAGGTTAATTTAGGACGTAAAATGACTTTTTGGCTTCAATATTTAAAAAGATGTTCAGACAACATCCCCACGGTTTTTAATTAACGTTCCAAATGTTTCAAGCAGAAACGTGAGGTGGTTCAAACAACTTCAAATTTTACTGACACTCTACTTCCGCGATCTTATATGCTTATCAAAAGAAAATACTTCCCCTCTACTATGACGAAAAACAAATTTTCACCAAAAGTTGCAATATGGATCACAAAGTTTCCTTTGATTTTCGTAATTCTTCCTTTTTTCAGTAATTTTGTTTGAGGAAATAAAATTGTTGAAGCTTTCTAAAGTATTTTCTCATTTGTGTGAACGACGAAATCGTCGGATAACGTTTGTTTACTAACAGGAATCTGTAAATGCTGATGTGTACGAACAAGAAATGGCTAAACAGAATGAATAACTTTTCTTTCACTCAAAAGGGATAAACAAAATATTAAAAGCAACTCACTAGCACTTATATAAAAGTTAAACAAGTGAGGACAATTAAAACAAACCTCTTTTAACATCAACGATAAAAAATACGTGGATGTTCCCGAAGTAATATAAAATCGATCTTTTTTTGCCTTACAACTTCCAACGGTAAATGAAAACGACGTTGACATAATTACATAGTTCAATATTAAATATTGCTCAATATTTATTTACTGCAATGGGTATAAAGATAAGATTTATGAGAGAATGACATCTGTTTTCATCCCAGCAGACAAAATCGCTCGAGCACCGAAGGTTTTAGCGATTAATGATTAAAAAAGTCGTCAACGAAGACTTCGCAACGGTATAGTTTTTTTTTTATCTTTTCGCTGAGCTTATCGACCAAAGGAGATGAGGAGAAACACACTTTCCCTTGAGCTCGCCACGAGGACGGAGGCGTTAGTTTGTACTGAAACAGTTTTGTTTGCTGTTACCAATGTTGTGGCCATCCTCGGAAATCTTCTCACTTTTTATGCTGTGCACAGAAACCACAGGCTGCGCACGATTCCCAACATGTTCCTGATAGCTCTGGCTCTAAGTGATATTCTGATGTCTACTATCTGTATGCCTTTTACAGTTGCAAGTCTTTTCCACGGTAGATGGATCTTTGATGAAACGGTCTGCCGCTTTCAAGCATTTGATATATTTACATTTGGGACGAGTAGTCTTGGAACTATGGCAGCAATTGCAGTCAGTCGATATTTCTGTGTTGTTAATCGGGAAAAGTATCCCTCGCTCTTTAAGAAGCAAAGATCCGTGATATACATTTTCATTGTTTGGTGCTTGGCTCTGGCTGGATCTGCTCCCACATTACTCTTCAAAAATGGCAGCGTTGAGTTCCAGCCTGGAAAAGCAATGTGTCTGTACAAAGTTGAAAGTAACATTGCTTACTCTGTCTTTATGCACTGCTGTTTTATCACAACACCCTTGATTATCATCACAGTCTGCTATGTCAAAGTGTTCCGCACCGTGTCAAGATCAAATCGTGTTTTCTCATTAGAAAATAATTCAGAACTCCTTCGGGTAAATGTGCAGGAAGCCAAAGTGACGAAGCGTTTGGTTGCAGTTATGGTAGGCTTTGCATGCTGTTCGCTTCCTATTGCCATCATTGACAACATCGACATCGCGCACGGAGAGCCCATACTACCACGATTAGCTTACTTAACATACGGCTTTTTGCTTTACTTGAGTAGCACCATAAACCCCTTCATATATTGTGCCACAGATAAGAGGTTCAGACGAGAGTATAAGGCTGTTTTCTGGAAGAGTTTTGGCTTCAAATGCCGAGCTAACAACGAAAACAACGACGCTTAACTGAAATGGCAAAAGACCTGGTGTAGCATGGTAGTTTTTTTCTGAGATTTTGTCCGAGGTTGTTACTGGTAAAATCGGAACATCGGAACATCTGAGTGTCTTTACACGAACCCAAAACAAGACGGAAAAACCGCTGATCAGGGCGAACAGAGAGGATCTTCCAACGACGGTGGAATTCACGTACCTGGGGAACACAATCAGACATGGTGAAGGAACAAACGAGGACATCAAGAACCGCTTAGTGAAGGCCATAAATGTAGTCAGAATGCTCAACAATGTAGAGAGGTCCTAGCAGTAGAGCATTAAGACCAGGCTAAAACTATATTATAGCTGTGTCGTATTCACCCTAATATGTGGCTCTGAATGCTGGAGAATGACAGAAGGCGATCATTGCAGATTGTCAGTCCTTCACAGTCTTCTTAAATTTTATGCTAGACACAGTTCCCTTTGGTTTGCGCGCTGGACTCAACAATGTCTGGTCGTTAAAAAATGCGAAAAGCTATAAATTTGGCTCACATTTGATCATCGTATTCACGCGGTTGTCATTGAAAAAAAAACTTATAATTTTTTTCTTTTGTCCAAACTAAAAGTGAAGATGGCGTCAATTCTTTGTTTCAGGAAGCGATTTCAGTGATATTGAAGATTTTGCCGACTCGTAAAATTGGTTTCCAAACCTTTAGCAGGGAGATATTTTTCAAGTGAAACTTTAATATTCTTCTAGAACCGCTAGAACAGTTTTTTCGATGAGTGTTGCCTACAAGATAATGTTTCTGTTTACTTGTAGCTTTACAATCTTCGTTTTAAGACATTCGACAAAGAATTATGATTGAATTTCACGAGTTTAAGTTAAACGACTAAATTACTGTTTAGTACGTTGTTATATTACAGTATAAGTCTAAGCCGACGATTTTTCTAACTTCTTCTTTTGTTCTGGATACGCGAATAAATGTAAGAAGGCTGTAAACTTATGGTTAATTTAGAGCTTAGATTGACTTTTCCGCTTCGTTTTTTGATAACAAGATGTTCTTATTAATAGTATGCTCTCGATCTTAGAACAAAAGTTTTTAATTTAAGCAGAAATTTGGAGTGGCTTAAATTATAATTTCAAATTTGACTGTCACTTAACCTCCGCGATCTTATATGCTCATCCAAAAAAAATTAGTTCCCCCATACGATGCCGAAAAATTGTTAATAACAGAATGGATTTCAATTTTTTTCTGAGAGAGGGTTTTAGTTTTTCTCCAGATATTTTTTATCGCAGAAATGAGAGTTGTTAAAACTCCTCAAGATATCTTATCCCTTTCGTGAGCGGCGGAATAATATGTTAGCTTATTGACCAGCAGCGTGAAGAAATTGTACAGATAAGATACGGAAAAATAGAAGTAACATCTTTTCTTTACTCGAAAGAGATATGTCGATTATTAAAAGCAATTCAACAACACTTATCCGGAAGTAAATCACATAGTTCAAATATAATAAACCTTTTTAAGCAACAACGACATACTGCACGAGCTCTCGCCGAACAGAAACAGTTGTCATTTTGCCTTACAACTACCAACTTGATGAGAATGATAACAACGATGACATACAGACATTTTTTAATATTCATTAATTGCAATGCGTTTAAAGATAAGATGTGATGAAAAACAACATTTGCTTTTCGGTGTTGGTAGACAGTGTTGGTAATCGCGCACACCAGCGGGTTTCGCCGATCACTGCTTCAAAAAGTCGACAACAAAGACTGTGCAGAAGTTTAACTGAGTTCCTTTTTTTTCGCCGAGCTCGAGCTTATTGACCAAAAGCGGTGATGACAAGTAAACTCTCCCTTGAGCTTGCCACAAGAGAGGAGGCGTTAGTTTGGACTGAAACAGTTTTGTTTGCCTTTACCAATGTTGTGGCTGTCTTCGGAAATCTTCTCACTTTTTACGCCGTGTACAGAAAGCCCAGACTGCGAACAATTCCCAACATGTTCGTGATAGCACTAGCTGTGAGCGATATTCTGATGTGTACCTGCTGTATGCCTTTTACAGTTGTTACTCTTTTCCATGGCCGGTGGATATTTGGCGAATCTTTCTGTCTCTTTCAAGGTTTTGCCGCACTGACTTTCGGAATTGTCGCTATGGATACCATGGGTATCATTGCGGTCAACCGATTCTTCTGCGTTGTAAAACCAGAAAGGTATCTCTTGTTGTTTAAGAAGAAAAGAGCGTTGATATACATTGTCATTGTGTGGTGCCTGGCTTTCGCTGGATCTGTGCCCCCGTTTTCCTTTGAGGGCAAAAATAGCTTTAAATTCCAGCCAGGAAAAGCAATGTGTTTGTACACGTTTGAAAGCAACATGGCTTACACTGTTACAATCGAATGTGTTTACATCGCAGCACCCTTAACAATCATAGCGGTCTGCTATGTCAAAGTGTTCCGCTCAGTTTCAAGATCAAATCGTGTTTTCTGTCTAGGTGTTAACCTCAGTCAACTCCGCGCGAATGTGGAAGAAGCAAAAGTAACGAAAACTTTAGTAGCAGTTCTGCTTGGCTTCGCGTGTTGCTGGCTCCCTATCTCCGTCGTGGATAACGTGGACGCCGCGCGCGGAGAACCCAAGATACCACGACAGGTTTACTTGACGTACGCGTTCTTGGCCTATCTGAGTAGCACTATCAACCCATTCATTTACGGTATCATGAACAGACAGTTCAGGCGAGAGTACAAGGCCCTCTTGCGCAAGATTACTTTCTTTCGGCGCCAAAAAGGCAATAACAACAGCAGCCACAACGTTGAAAGTCATCCATAAATTGTTCTCATCATCCTCATACTTGACCTTTTAATCTTTTATTTTAATTTTTTTCTTTCAAAAATCGATGTAGCTAAAGAGAAAAATATGACATTTAACTATTTTTGCGACATTGTCTTTCCTAGTAGCAAATCCTTTCAGAAACAAAAAAATCAGATCAAAAAAGACGCTTTGACGGCAACTTTTTGTGTGTAATAAAGTTAGACAGAGAGATTATTGCTTTTCTTTTTGAGAGTGGATTCTCTCTTAGAGTATTTACAACAATAAAACTAAACCATAAATTTAATTATTTGTAGCTTCATTTCAAAATGTTTATTCTTTTTCTGTTATTTTCTTTTTTTTTCTCTTTTTGATTCCCCCTCTTGTCATTCATAATTATTCAAAAATTTATATCATTACAATATTATTGAGTAGAAGAGAGTGGTTATCAAAGTCAATAACAAACAAATATGAAAACAGAGGGGCAGCGGCGTGTTATGGGAATTCACTGATTGTGCACGAACATCAAATATTGAGCGCACAATGTGACTGAATAAATTAAGGGAACGTTTCTATTGGTCAGTTAGTTAAGCCTGCGTGGATTAGTATTAAATGTTGTATGTGATGTAGATTGAAAAACCTAACTTAATATGCAACTAGGCAATCTGTCACGTTTTATTGCCATTATCCTAGTACGAGAGTTATGTGGTCGATAGCAATTGGTTTTCTTGTATCGTAACTGTGTACTTGCCTATTTCTTGTCAATAAGAGCGTTTACGACAATTTAACGAGCAGAGGTAAGAACACTCAGCTTTAGAGTGACAATTGGAGTGAGGTAAGGGTGTGTGATGTCAGCACTCCTCTTCAACGTTGCGACTGCTTGGGTGCTGCAGCGAACAACTGAAGACCGGACCAGAGGCATCCGATAGACATTATTCTCTGCATACGAAGACCTCGACTTTTCTGAAGATTAGGCGCTGCTATATCTCACACCCATCACCATAAGCAAGAGAAAACATCCCGTCTCTGTGGACTTACTCAACAGACTTGCCTGTAGATCAGCTAAAACAAAGCAGAAGTTATGATTCTGAATGTCCCAAACCCCCAGCTGATCAGAGCGAACAGAGAGGATCTTCCAACGACGGAGGAATTCACGTACCAGGACAACACAGTCAGACATGATGGAAGAGCAAACAAGGACATCAAGAAGCGCTTACTGAACGCCATAAATGTAGTCAGAATGCTCAACTATGTATGGAGGTCCCAGCAGCAGAGCACCAAGACCAGGCTAAAACTATATCATAGCTGTGTCCTATCCACCCTGATATATGGCTCTGAATGCTGGAGAATGACAGAAGGCGATCTTCCACATTGTCAGTCTTTCACAGTCTTCTTAAATTTTGTGTGAGACATTTGATCATCATATTCACGTGGTTGCCATAGAAAAAAAAAACTTAAAATGTTTTTCTCTTATCAAAACTAAAAGTCAAGATGGTGTCAATTCTTTGTTTCAGGAAATGATTTCAATGGTATAGAAGAGTTTGCCGAGTCATATAATTGGTTTCCAACCTTTATCAGGGCTTTTTTTTTTCAAATAAAACTTTAATTTTCTTTGAAGAATCACCAAAGCAGTTCTTCTGATGAGTGTTGTCTACAAGATAACATCTCTGTTTACACAGCTTAATTACTGTCTAGAGCGTTGTAATATTACAGTTAAGGAAGTTTCTAGGCCGACAATTTTTCTAACTTCCTCTTTCATTCTGGATACACAAATAAATGTAAAAGGGCTGTAAACCAATGCTTAATTTAGAACTTAGATTGACTTTTCCAATTCTTTATTCGACAACAATTTGTTCTTCCAATATCCTCTCGGTTTTAGAATTAAGGTTTTTAATTCAAGCATAAATTTAAGGTGGTTTAAATTAAAATTTCAAATTTGACTGTCACTTAACTTCTGCGATCTTTTATGGCCATCAAAAAAAAAAATTAGGTCTCCTAGACAATGCCGAAAATTATTAATAACAAACTGGATCTCAATTTTTTTCTGAGAGATAGTTTTAATTTTTTTTTCAACTATTTCTTATCGCAGAAATGAGAGTTGTTCAAACTCTTCAAGATATCTTATCCCTTTCTTGAGCGGCCGATAATATATTTATTAACCAGATGAGTGAGGAGATTGTTTAGACAAGATACGGAAAAATAGAAGCAACATCTTTTCTTTCACTCGAAAGAGATATGTCGATTATTAAAAGCGACCCAAAAACACTTATCCGCAGGTAAATAACTGAGTACAATTAAAACAAACCTCTTTCAGCAACAACGCACGTGCTCTCGCCTAACAGAAACATAAAATGGTGTTGTTATTTGGCCCTACAACTTCCAACTTGATGAGAATGATAGCAACTATGACATACAGACATCTCTTAATATTCATTAATTGCAATGTGTTTAAAGATAGGATGTGGGGAAAATAACATTTGTTTTTCGGTGTTGGTAGACAGTGTTGGTAATCGCGCACACCAGCGGGTTTCGACGATCACTGCTTCAAAAAGTCGACATCAAAGACTGTGCAAAAGTGTAAGTTACTTATCTTTTCGCTGAGCTTATTGACCAAAAGCAGCGATGACAAGTAAACTCTCCCTTGAGCTTGCCACAAGAGAGGAGGCGTTAGTTTGGACTGAAACAGTTCTGTTTGCTTTTACTAATGTTATGGCTGTCTTCGGAAATCTTCTCACTTTTCACGCCGTGTACAGAAACCACAGGCTGCGAACAATCACCAACATGTTCGTGATAGCTCTGGCTGTGAGCGATATTCTGATGTATACCTGCTGTATGCCTTTTACAGTAGTCACTCTGTTCCATGGCCGCTGGATATTTGGCGAATCGTACTGTCTCTTTCTTGGGGTGAATAACAATGGATGCCTCCACCAGCAGTCTGAGTAGTTTGGGGTACCAGCTTTGGCTCATCCACCGTGGCACTATAAGAATGCCCTCTGCTTGGTTTGCATGTAATTTCTCCAGACATCTCCCAATTAGACTAAAAGGAGGAAATGCATAAAAGAATAAATTATTCCAATTTACAGAAAATGCATCCACGAACAAAGCTTCCGGGTCTGGACGCCATGATGAGTATTTGGCATATTGTTTATTCAAACGGGATGCAAAGAGGTCAATTTCAGGACTACCAAACTTATTAGTAATCCTCTTGAATATCTGTGGATCTAACATCCACTCTGTGCGGTCATTAAATACCCTAGATTCTGCATCAGCTTCTACATTTTTACATCCAGGTAAATATGTAGCTCTGAGCCAGTTATTATTAGCAATACACAGGGCCCAGATTTGTTTAGCTACCTCATTACATGGAATGGATTTAATTCCACCCATGTTATTTATGTAGTACACTGCAGTAGTGTTGTCACATTGCACCTGGATGTGTTTATTTTTGTGTGCACCACACAAAGCTTTGAGGGATAAAAATATAGCGAGCAGTTCAAGGTAATTGATGGGATTTAGTGCTTCTGTGGGGGTCCATCTGCCTCCTGCTCTCTGGTCACCATGCACCCCTCCCCAACCTTGAGAAGGGGCATCAGTTTGGATTACTATATCAGCTTCACCATGTGAGACTGCTTTACAGGAAAAAGGTAGGTTTGCAATCCACCACTGCAGTTCCTCTCTTGAATTAACAGATAGAAATATTTCACCAGAGAAATTGGCTTTAGTTTGTCTCAAACTCTCAATTTTCTCAATGTCAAGGCTACGGTAGTATAATGGGCCATGTTCCACGGCGGGGAAGCTGGAGACCATAAGCCAAAAGCTAGATCTTTTAGCTGCTTAGAGAGGTCAGGGTTATCTCCGAATAGGAAATCTGTGAATGGCACTGTAGGTGAACATAGATGTTTGTAGTCTGCATTGAGCTCTGGTTTTATGTTATCTCTAATTTTCATATTGAGGCCAAAATTTTCTGCCCCAAGCAGGGCTACTGAGTCAGTGGCCGTTCTAATTAGAGATGGGATATCCAATAATTCTTCTGATATTTTGTCCTGGACTTTGACCAGTTGTTCAACTACCAGTACGATGGGAATTATTTCCTTCAGTAAATTGGCCTGAATAAGCTGAAGCTTTAAGTCACTTGAGCGTGTGTCGTGTTTTAATTTATCCCAGAGGAGATGGTTAACCTGGGTTGGCTCCAAGTACTCGCAATTTACTGGCCTGGTATAACGATTTTTCGTTTCTGTCAATACATCGTCATCAAGTTTGACACGCATGACCTCTTTCAGTATTCCCGCGAGTTGTGCATTCACAGCGGGAGCTTTCTTTTGGCCCAATTTTAAATTACTCGCAATTCCTGCAAGAGTTGAGTTTTCCTCTTTGAAGGACTCAGGGTCTGTTTGATTGGCATTATTTGTCAACGTCAGCTGATCGTTGACGTTATTAGCGTTGCTGGACCCCGATAGGTTTTGGTCCTAAGTGCTAGCACTGTCCTTGTTTGCCCCTTGTCGGTCTTTCTCCGCGTCGGAGTTTACAGAGCCTTCTTCATTGGCAGATTCCTCGACATATGCGAGGTGTCCTAAAGTCTCCTTCATCTCAGTAAATGAGTGATCCATTGAGGAGTTGATTGTGGTAATAGAGGACACTAGTTGTTTAGTCATAAGCGAGATTGCTTCGATAATAGAGTCGGGTTTCCCGAGTGAGTTTGCCGAGTCGCCATGTTTGCTTGAGTCAAGCGCTGATATTTCTTCTGGATTTTGTTTGTTTGTCATGTTGACGGTCTTTGAAAAGGTAGCTGAGAAGAGTTTCTCCTTTTTTTCTTTGATTGTATGACAGTTTACGTCGACGTTGAAAGGTTTTCTCGATTTCCAAGTTGGATTTCGTATTTCTCGACCGTCTCAGGCAAGGCGGGAAAATACACTGATCTCTCGGGCGGTTAGCGCTTTCTCACGTGACTTCGTCAGTGCGCATGATGACGAGGCAGAATCACATGATTTTACCCCTATGAGGGAGACACGATGGCGTAATGGTTAGTGCGCTGGACTCCGGGTCAAGAGGTCTGGGTTCGAAACCTGGCCAGGTCATTGTGTAGTGTTCTTGGTTTGTCGGTCGGGATTAAGAAATAATAGTAAAATAATAAAGTAAGATGAGATCGCAGCTCTTCTGAGTCACTGACTTGAGGTGGCGAAAGTCATCTGTTTGTGTTTATGTCATTACTTTATGGAAGATATTCTTCTATTGTTGCCAGGTTGAAAATATTTTTTTGAAAAGTAAATCAATAGTTTTCTGAATTAAAAATCATTCCCATACATCTTAATTTTTAGTTCAGTATGTCCTGCATTTGTAAGGATACTTCAAGGAATGGCAACAAAATCCACAGTGGTCCCTCTCCTGCTTCCTGGCCCTGCTCCTCCCCCTTTGTGGCCTGCAGGCGGAAGTAACTGGTATGGTTGAGACGAATGTCCTTGATAATCAACTGCAAACAGGACAAGTGGAGATGCCCACTCTTGTAGGTGCGGTAAAAGACAGTGGTGTCGTTGATGTTACATTCGAGGAAGGTGAACAGCAACAAGAAACCATTTCCAGGGAAGATGAACAAATTGGTAAACACGAGATCGCTAAGGTGTTTTGCGATCGTGGTAGCTAGACAAGACTGCGTTCACAATCTATCTCTAGGGACGCAGAAAGTTTGAATTCACATTTCTAATTCAAAGTGAGTAGAAAACGAGCGCAAATGTTTTAAACTAATTTTACAAAGCTATTGTTCATTGAGCTGAGCTACGCTGACAGTCTCCTTCATAGGGGAAAGCAGTTTAAAACTTTAGCATGGAGGCTACGCATACTCTTTTCTGGGAACTAGGAAGTAACGCCGAGGAAGACTTTTTTGTTGATTGATGTACGTCTTCGCTAAACATTTTTTGGGGTTCATGTCATATTAATTAATGTTCGCCTCTCCTTTTCAGATTTTCTAAATCAACGCATATATGCCACCGTCAAAGGCTTCTTTACAAAACGATTTAATTAATTAATGTGGTAGAGTATCTCTATCTAATCCGAAGAGCTAATTATAATTCTATCACTCCAAAAGACGTAAACCCCTTAACTCCCAAGATCGGATTGTTAATTCTCCTCTCTCGCTGCTACACATTTCCTTTTAACGAGCTGTTCAATCATTTGATTTATGCATAGGGTATTTCATTTTCGTCAAACGCTTAAACGTTAATTCATATGATCAAATTTCTTTCAAACAAAGAACGCAAATCAAGAAGAAAACGGCTTTGTATGGAACATGAACTCGATAGACTGGAAAAACGTAAAATAAAAAAAATGTAGAAATAATAAAAATGAAGTATAGCTAATCAAATCGTATGAAAGTGAGAGAATAATTTTATGTGAAGCGCTCGAGAAGTATTTTAGTATTGTTAGGGTATGTTTATACGAAGTATGCTGAGTTTTGGGAGATTTCTGCTCCAAGCGCAGTTTATTAAGTATATTTTGGTTGCTTTTGGCCTCGCACCAGCTGCAGGCATTGTAATCAACAACGCATGAATAAATGGGTTTAGTTTCTAAGGAAATTGTGGTGCTGCGTCAGTGAGGGGTACAACAAGACAATTTGGTTCTATAATCCAACTGCACAAGGTAGAGTTCTAATAACGCAAAAATATGTATATAGCGCATGTGTACAGTTGGTTATTGTGTACTGTAAAAAAAACCTGTTTAACCGGTCGGCTACGCACGCTGCGCTTCTCTATCAACTTTGCTTTTCCCGCCTTATGAGAAATGAGCAGAAAGACTTAGCGGGAAAAAAAAGCAGTTGGATCATAAATAACCTAGTAGACTATTCATTGGTGTGTAGTATTGCCTAGTACTTTCACTCCTTGTTTGAATTTGACGAGCCTGTGGGGAAGTCAAAATACGGCACAACTCATAAAAATACTCAGGTTTGTCACCGCCAGATAAAGAAAATCCAAAAAAATCCGAAAAAATCACCATGAATCTTATTTCGCGAGATGATCATCTCGCAGCTGAAGCTTGGGCTGCTTGTGGTGTGAGTTCAGATAAATTAAGTTTTTTTCTTTCTCTCAAGGTGAAGTAACGCGATATTTTCGTCCGTTTGAAAGTCATGCTCTTTTTCTGTTACAAAAATGAAAACATTAGGTACACAAAGTGTCCCATCTCGACCCACCCATGCTACGCATACCTATGTTCTTATAAATGATGTCATGGATAACAATAATAATAATAATAATAATTTATTTACTTATATAGCGCCCTTTAACATTTATGGAATGATCAAAGGCGCTTTACAATCCAAGAAAACTAATATTGCAATAGATAATTACAATAAAAATGCTATTTACAATAGACAATTACAATAACAATACTAAAATAAAATAATGACAGTAAATGAATACATAATGAAAGAATGAATGAATAAAAAGTAAATAAATAAGCTACAAAATACCGATACGATTGTAATGCGAATCTAAAACGCTTGCTTAAAAAGATAGGTCTTAAGAGATTTCTTAAATAGCGCTAGCGAATCAATCGTGCGGATGTGCACAGGCAAGCTGTTCCACAGCGCAGGCGCATAGGCATGAAACGAGCGGGCACCTAAAGTTGTGCGCATAACCCCTTTTGGGCGTTCTAAAAATATTGTATCATTATTGCGTAATGGATCAGGGGGCTGTGCACAAAGAATAACATTAACCATAAATCTTGAGCTCATTTGATAAGTGTGGTGGTTTGTGACCTTCGCGAGAGCCTCGTTGATTACGATCGAGATTTATCGGGACATGAACGGTTCGCATTTCATTTTTTGTATTATTTTTAAGTCAAACGTATTTTTACGGCTCCTTGACGCACAAAGAACACGCCTAACAACTCACGTTCCATCACGTACCATAAAAACAACGTGCAAAGTCCATTAGAACATACCCAATCATTGCACTACGTGAACATTTGGCAATTTTTCACGTGCTTGAATTGTATTCCATCAACCAAATTCGCATCTACGCGCGCCCGTGAATTATTCACTATTTATGACTCATTTTCTCGGGAAAGTTCACAATGTGTCATTAACTCTTGGTTTTCCAGAGAATGTCACGCTATGGTAAAAACATCATTATGGTCGTGAAACAAAAAGTGAGTCATTTGCATCCTGTCAGGGTCGAGTGAACATCTTTGGTGGCAGCGAGAAATTTTTAACGCTCGCCATCCCCAGCTCGAAGCGTTGCTTCTAAGTTATCGCGAGCTAAATTTAAGAGGAAAAAAATCAAATACTCCTACGTCGTGAGATCACTAAGAAAAGAGTACCCTCTCGACACCGTTCTTGTTATAAGTCACCTTCTGAAGACCTCATCAAAATATCTTCGGTCTTGCAAAATTTTACAAATTTAACAGGTTCTTAAGGACTAATTCAACACTCCGTCGTTGACGAAACGTCGTTTTAAGGTAAGCTCTGAAATAATTAATTAAACCAAGTGGTTTGTCTCACCCACTCGCAGTGTTCCATCAGTAACATTGCCAGTTTGTATTAACAAAGAAAAACTATGTACATTGTAAAATATAGACAATCCGGTATGAGGCGTGGGGTCTTGGTTTCATGTGGGTCTTTCAGCTAAGGGAACCGGCAACAACACACTAGGCCTTATGATCGCAGACAAGAGGAAGTTATGAAAATTTTATCGATCGAAAGTGCTGTGTCCCTGCTTACTCTATTTTTTTAGAAGAGTATTTAGTGAGAACTAAGAAAACTGAGTGTTACGAGATAATGTGAAGCCTTTTTCCTTTTTATTTTGATTAAAACTACCGTCTACGTGTTACATCCTGTTCGCAATATAGAAATTGAAAGAGGAAGCAGTTGTCATAAACACATGTTTCGAGGGGAAGATGTAAAACGCTCCTTGCTTATTAAATGATACAAAACTTGGCAGGTATTTTCAGGCAGAGAAAAATTTAAGGCAACAAATCAAAATACGAATTCTTTAACACATTATTTGACTTCTTTTGAAAAAATGTAGGTTATATTAAGAACACAGCGTAACTGAATATTTATCAGCATACCTTTGGAAAATGAAAATAAGCTGAAATCCAGTTCGCACATACATTTTGGAATAAATGATCGTCTTCTTTGTTTTTTTTGTCCTACATAAATTAACGAGTGAATCACATGCTCCTCGTTCTTGTTCGTCATAACTCGAGTCGAAAATTTTACGAAAATTTGAAATGAGATTGCCTAATTGTATTTGTTTGTTCCACATAAAATCATGAGTGCACCACGTGCTACTCGTTCGAGTTTTTCATTGAAGGCATTTTGGGTGGCGGATATTTATCTATTAGTTTAGTTTGCAATGACAGAAGGAAATAGTCCAATATGAAAGAAATAAAACATTACTATTAATCCGAGTCATTTCGTTAGTGCCATACCTCCTGACTGTGGTGTACTCAAAGTTCTACGGAGCATGCCCGAAGGTGTTAGGTTGAAAAAACAACATGGCGCGATCGGTAAGAAGTAAAGATCGTGTATATTATTATTGCTTCTAAAGACAACAGGAAATATAAACCCGGGGTAAAATTGTATCAAGTGGAAAGACTTGTCAGCAAGCGGAAATCGTCCAACAAAGTTTTGCATATTATCAGGATAATTGTGCAGAGTTGC